TCCTTATATATATTTCATCAATGGGAGCTTTCTTTTACACCATTTTATACTACATATCTGTCTAACAATTTACTTCAACTAATTTTTTTATAATCCATTCTTTTAATTATTTTCGAGATAATGTGTAATGCACTGTTAGCATTAAAAGATTGTGATTTCTAGTTAGGCTCGTTCCGCTAGCTATTAAATGGTTAGAAATTTTGGAACCATGGAGCCATTCTGCTGGAAGTACAGATGTATCGTCAGTAATGCTATGATTTTTCAGTTATAAGTTTATTCCTGTCAAGGGCTTGCAGTACTAGTATGCTTTATTGAAATTACTCAACTGGACCTTTTTTTCAAGTTTTGATTAATAAAAGCAGTCTTTAAGGATCAATTTTTTTAAATGTCATATTAAAAATTTAGATCCATTTTTTATGATACTTTTGTTTGCTTTCCATAGTGGGTTGTACAAAAGAAATTTTCAGCTTCTCTGGCTGTACAACAAGAAATTTTTATCAAAAAATTATTTAGAAATAGATCGCCAGTCATGGGAGTTTTTTAGTGGCAGATTTACCATCATCTACAAGATTTTTTTTCCAAACTGAGATGCTGGGGGCAGTAATCTTAGCAAAAAACGACTATCATGCCTGCTATATTTTGGAAGCTGCTCAATTTTTAATATTTTGGTATCTTTTCATCTTATTTTGAAAAGGGTCATCATAAGGGTCTTCATAATTTCATTATGATCCATGAAATAATAGACTTGGTTCATCTATTCGCTTTAGTAGATATTTGGGATATTTAGCCAAAAGCAGTGAATTACAAATTATAGCCCATCCAAGAATCAAAGGAAAATTAACAAGCCAATAATTAAAAATTCAGATTTAGAATGAAAACATCCATTTTTACAGTACAATAGTCAAATTAATCTTCTTATCTTCCATCTCTTCTCGATTGTTCTAATCCGAAATTCGATTTAAGGAATAATTTCAGTTTAAAATTTCAGTTTAAAAGATTTGAAAGTAAATCCGAATAGGACTAAATGATTAACTCAAAAATCACAAATCTCCATTCGTATGTGATCCATAAGCGAATTTTGATTGGATTATTTTCTAATCAAATACCACTGAGAGTGGCGGTTAATCGTTATAAATATTCATTGCATATGCCATTACATCACTACGGAATCAGTAATTTTGATGAGATCACTCGATTATGACCTGAATACTCGTATCTTTTGCGGAAATCCACCATTTTAGCCCAAAAAATCATTTCCATAGCTATTATTTGGCTAATATTTAGTGGTTAATTTTAAATTAAATTGTTAAAGTTTTTATTACTAAAGATAAAGTGAATATTTTATTGCTTTATTCGATAAAGGTGTTCCATTTTACTCTCATTTCACTTTCATTTAACATCCAGCGATTCCCATTTAAAATTTCGTTTTTCAACAAGCCCACCAGTCATTTGTTTATTGAGTTTGCATGAAAAAAGTTGTTCTCGACCTTTTTTTCGACTCGCTGCTTCAGCTAATCAGGTAATTTGCTTCCATATTTGAAGCCTATCACTACCGCTCATTTAAATACGCTCATTTAAATCAGACCAACAAAAACGTATAGCTTAAGTAATTTGCGAACATTTTAGCCGTAATTAAATTTCAATTAATATTAATATCGTTGAATTAATCGAACTCGTACATTCGAAATGGCCTCGGCAGAATAAACCTGTTATTGAAAAATGGCGCTGCTGGTCCTCCTAAACTTATATCACGAATTGACTGCTTTGGCAAAAATCTTTCTCCTTACTAACGAAGCCTAGAAATGGTGAGAATTAACCAATTTGCTTTACTACTTGGAATAATCAGATCAAAATTTTGTAATCGGCAAATATATTATTTAATAAATTTAAAATAAATAAGCAAGAAGAAGACGAATCTTAACTACTTTTTTAACGAAAGATGAGATCATTTTTGGGATGTCGATGAAATAATGAAAGCTTTGATCGTTTCATTTGGTAAAACCGGTTGACTGTAGTATCGAATTCTATCGAATGTCATTTGCTTGCTTATCTTCTTCTTCTCCTTTTTTGTTTTGCATTGATCTTCCTTTTCCTTTCATATTTTCATCCCCAACTTGATTTTCTTATCTTACAACACAACAAACGCCAATGAAAAACGCAAAAAAGATAAAAGAATACTTTCCATTTCCAAACTCTCATTTCACTTTCATTTAACATCCAGCGATTCCCATTTAAAATTTCGTTTTTCAACAAGCCCACCAGTCATTTGTTTATTGAGTTTGCATGATAAAAGTTAATGATTAGCATTCACTATTTCTGGTTAAGCTCGTTGGCTATTAGCACGGTTAGAAATTTTGCCGGAGAAGTCAGCCATTTGACTATAAAAGTGCAGCTAGATCGCCAGCATTGCCCTCTTTTCTTTTGTTAATTGATATACTTTACTAGGTTGAAAATCAGTGTAAAATAAATTAATGCAATGTTCCTAGCTCATATCAATACTTTAAATGAAAATGTAAGATAAAGGTAAATCTGTATTTATCACTACACATATATAGATTTATAATAAAGATAGCCAAGTGGATAGTGGCGTAAATTAACGTGCAGTGAGAAAACACAATGAAATGAGCCAGGCCAGAAATGATGAATGCTAACTATTTATTTGCCACAGTAATAATTTCAGTGATATTGTATTTTGGCTATCTTTTAACCAATGCTCAAAAATTATGTTCGAAGGCTGATTCTGCTTCGCTTTTTAAGGAAAATTTTATTATATTTCTTATGGAAAGTTTTACAGTCATCTGCCTGATTCCTAGTCTCGTTGATTTGTAGGAATAGGAAGGTTCTTTTCTTACCAAAATTACCAATTTATATTTAATTTTTCCATTCCTGTGGACTTCCAATCTTCATTATTTTCATCTGATTATTTAACAACAATCAACTGGATCTCGCAATTCTGTTTTGCTATGATTAGTTTTGCTTTTTGCAAATTTTTCTTTGAACACTTATTTCTAAAGTGAATGAACAGTAAGTATTACCCCAAATGCTTATTCGTCTTCAAAATTTTGGACTAAACTGGTTCATTTACAATTAACATGAATCATTTCAAAAATAATTTTACTTTCGTCATTTCTAATTATCCGGTTTTTCACTCATAAGAAAAATATGAAGCATTTTTTCGGGAAGTGATTTGCTGGATCTTTATTCTATGACCACTTTATCTTGCCAATTATATCTGATATAAAATATCAGATTACTCTTTCTTTGCCAAATAAGCAGCTTTCGGATACCCATGGATTTTCTCAATTATAACAATTTTTAAGTTTTCCTTGTTTAATTTTATCATAATTTTTGCATCGAAATCCATAGATCCGGCAAATTGATAAATTCGATCACCTGAGCAAACGGCGACACATTGAACTGTTAATAAAAGTAAACTTTTAGAGGTGTTGAAATTAAATAACAGGAAATATGTATGGCTTCCTTTCATGATCCTTTCTCTCTAATCCAGTTGACAAGGGTGTCATATTTTTATCATTGCTTAAGTCATTTATGTCATTTTGTCATGGACAAATTTTTAGCCAAGAAGATTTCTTAATTTGTCGACTTTATATATTTTAATCTGCTCAATTCCATTTTTATTATCTGATTTTATTTATTGATAACAAGAAAAGTAATTGGTTGGCGATCACTATTGCTCTTTATATTGGTGATATAAATACCAATACCATCGGCTCTTAATATGGTGAGGAATTCTTGCCAACAAGTCTGAAGACAGAGATATAATTGGGTACCTAGTTCCGCCTAGAAAAATCTGGAAAGGGTACTTTTAATATATTGATATATTTTTTTAATATTAATAATAATAAAATAATTTAATAATAAAATAGATGTGTTTAATAAATGAATGCTGGGGTTCCATTCGTGGGATCTTTTAAGACATTCGGTGGTATTGGTATTTACATCGCCAAGTTACTGGCAAAGTTAATCTTATCCGACAAGCCAATATAATCAGAAATGGTGAGGTCTCTCAAAAAAACAAAAAATTAAATGCGCTTGTATTAATCTTTTTGATTATTTTCGTATTTTTCCACAACTTTCTCGCTGTTAAGCCTTTTAAGAATTTCTAAAAAATATTATTTTTTTAATCTGAAAAAATTTTTTTAAGGCATATCTTCTACCGTAATCTTCGACGCGGCGAATTTATCAAATCCGTTTCTCTTAATCTCTTCTCAAAGAAAATCATTCAACGAGCATCATCCATCAGCAGCAACGCAGTACATATAACCAGTGATTTTCTCTCTCAGCAAATTCCATTCGTCTCCCCCTATCTCTTTCGATTTTCTAAAAAATCTTCATATAGGCGTGGTTAGCTAATTGGGAAAATGGGCGTATATTGTAGAGTTTAGTGTCTATTTACCGGCTGAAAATTTCATATTGCAATAGCATTTCTTTTGGATTTTCATGAATTTATTGCAGGGAGATACATCGAATAGCGAATTTTTTCATTATTTCCACTATTTTACCATTCTCTGAAGCGAAAATATGCAAAATTTTTGACTTGTCTCTAAAAAATTCTTTTTTTTCAATTTTATTTCAAAAAGTTTCTTTCATTCGTTATGGAGATTAAACGAATGAATAAAGCTAAGCGCTCCTCATTCGGATACTTTTTCAATGAAAAATTTACTTCCATCCGCAGAAAGTCCGAACTTAACGCTCGAGAAGATAATCCTTGAATAATAACCACTCGGTTATTCCATTTTTTGAAAATTTTCATATATCTCGCATGAATTTTTGAACCAAATTATCTAAAATTTTATATTTTTTGCTTCGAATCAATTAGATCGGCTAAACGATTTCATTACAATTGTTATTAACGCTCTACCTTTTTTGCGCATTTCTTAATCAGTTGGCCAAAAGGCGATAGTTTCTTTTATATTATTAACACAGATCAGGTGCAAATAAATTTGGTCGGTGAAAATCTGGCTCAAGAGAATTTCGCGATGAGTATGTTTCCTGTTCGTGTTGTGGTCGAGTCGGTTAGACCGCAGCACTGCCTCACATGCTCGCGCGAAGGACATATGCTTGCCGATTCATATGCTATAGTCTCAGGTGCAACCTTATTAAGTCAATTGGTTGACACAGTACTCGGTGCACTAGGAATGCCTCAACTTGCATTACATTCGAAGGGTAAGTCTTATGATTTTATCATAATACTTCGTCATTTCTATAATATTATCTTTATTCTCTGCAAAGAATGTCATAAGAATATAAGAATTTTAAATTTAAAAAAAAGTGTTCGTGAAAAATAAAAATTTTGACTTCAACTTTAGTCAGTTCAACAATATTTTCCACTATTTTCTTCAAACCTCTTAACAATTTTATCAAAAATTGAATGATTCAAGAAGAAATAGTATCAATTTTGGTGGAGAATTTAGTATTTTAGAAGACATAATAAATCTACTAAGGAATACTCAAAAAGTTGATTATTTTTATTTGAAAGATGGCGATTTTCGATAAAATTGATTTTTTATTCATAACTTTCAAATAAAATGATAATGATAAAAATGTTTTATTATAATGAATTTAAATACGATATTAATTATTAAAGTTGATACTAAAAGCTACTTAAAAACTATATATACATATATGTATAGTGAAGCGAGTGGACGTCGAGATGTGAATTTTTGAATGAGCATCTTTAAGAAGTTGGCTAGCTATCTTGGATTAAGTAGGATTCTATAAAATGGTGCTGGATTAACAAATGGATTCGAAGTCTTCACTTTTTTAAATGACTTCAATTCGCATTTATCGTTTACGCTTTTATTTTAGATTTATCCATAACTTAAATTTTTTAGATTTTCTTTTTCATTATTGCATTTATTTTATTCTTGAAGCATTTCATCTTATTTTATTATATACTGCGTTATCACTTATTACTTTCACCAATTTTTTTAAGATTTTCTTTTTTAAAATTGGCTTAATTCACATAAGATTGCGGCAATTCAGTTGAGCAAAATAAAATATTCCAAATTGTGAGGATTAGGCGAAGTCATTAAGGCTATAGATCAACTCTATTTCGTGATAATGGAGATGATTATCATTTCTAGTATTTTTATCCTTACCCGGTTGTGACTTCTATGATAAAGTTTTTATAAAGTTTTTTATATTTTTGTGATTCTTAGCCGGAATTTACTTTTTCCTTATTTCTCTTTTCAAGTATTTTCTAAATCTTTTCCTATGTTATCGACTAAAATTTTTTTGAACTAATTTTGATCCATCATTCATTAGTCGGCGGATTAATATCAGACGTTAGGCGTCATAGTTTTTTTAATCGCAAAATTTCAACAATTTTCCTATATTTATGTCAGTTTTGATCAATGATGTTCAACAGGGTAATTCAATATGCGAATCTCAAATTAAAAAAATTTCCTAACTGCATTAAGTTGATGGCTGAGATGTTTGGTTAAGCTGACCATTGTCTATCATAAATTTCAGACCTTTACTCACTGCCATAGTGCTCTTAATTTTTTTTTTAGTCTTTGTATTCTTAAGAATGTCCAAATGTTAAAAAATTTTAGGCCCAAGTTGTAATTTTGATTATTAAAGAAGAATTAAAGAAGTCGATTCTTTCGAATGAGAGATCTTACAGAAGAGATTTTTTAATTTATATCGAAATAGTAATCCAAGTAATCCATGAGCGGCACCATCACTAGCACTAGCAGATAGTATATGTGCGATAAATATGGCCTTTGAATATAAGATTGAATGAGAATCTTTTCTCAGTTATTGTCGACTTTCGACGACCTTGAATCTCAAATTGGAATCGAGCGGAATTTAGAGATTTCTTCTTTATTTGGTACATGATAAAATCAAAAACCCTGTGAACACTTCAAAATTTATCCTTCTATGGTTGTCAAGCGTATTTAACAAATTTACACAATGAAACTCCCTCCTGATTAAATTTTCTTCAAAATCCTTGAATTTCACATCTTCTTTTTGTGAAATCTTGTAGATGTTTGTTCTTCTAATACACCGAAATAGTACCGAAATAAAAATTTTCTAAGCCTTTATAATCTATCATAAATTTTATTTCATAATTTTTATCACGAACAATAGGCCAATAGGCTATAAGACTTTGGGACGAGAATGGATCCTTGACCAATTTTTTTCCTGGAATGTGAGGAATCCTTTTGAAAGTGAATTGATAAGGAATAGGCCTTTCTTGACATGGAAGATCCGATTAGAATCCACTTATTCTTTCTGCACTTACAGTTTTATAAAAATTTTTTAGCTTAATAACAAAAATTTATTCATTTCAACGATATTTTTTATTCTAGCTTGCATTTTTGGAAATTAGTCTTCTTTTAGCAATCTTCTATTTTTTGATTAAATTTTAGATTTTCGTCCTTTAGATTTTATTCTTTGGTTTTGGGATCCCGATAATCGCGATATTTGTGCTTTATTCGATTTTATTTACCTAAAAGCTTATCTTTTAAATCGCCTTTTGTTGTTTTTGCCTTGAGAAATGTAGATGTTATCATCTTTTTCTTATTAATTTATCTTATTTAAGATTTGATATATCCAAATCATCTGGTTATTGGGATTATGCTTTTGCTAGCCATTTGTTATTACTAGCTAAATCTTCATTATTCACCTTCATCTTGTGATTATCAGCAAATAAAATCCAATCTAAATCATTTCAGCTGATTCTTAAAAATGAGAATTTTTTTATCTGACGGTTTTTTAGCTGAACCATAACAGCGATAATTCTTTCCTTCAATTGGATCGCTGGTGAATTAAATATACCAGTTGTTCGATATTTGATATTTAATGCGATATTGAAATATTTGAGCTATGTCTTTAGTTCTATTAAACAGTCAATCTAAATATGAACTTCTGTTAAAATAAAATACATTGATCCATATATCCATAAAATAACACTAAACCATTAAGTGTTATCAGTCAAATGACAAATATGATAACCAGTTAAAAATCGATTACATGATTAACATATTCAATTATTTCGCCAAATTTTACAAAGTAATCCTGGATAAACGACTAAAACGAATGAATAAAAAATTAATTTCATTTTCTGAACTGATTGAATTTTCTGAAAGAGAACGATATTTTTGGATGCGAAAAAGGTTTTTTTCAATCAGCTTTACAGTTCATTAGTTAGTTGTCGATTTCTCGTCTATCGAATGAACATTTTATCATAGAATATCACCAAATTTAATTAGTGATTATCGATGGACGTTGCAAATCGGCAATAATTTTCCTTAAACCTTGTGAACAGCATTGTAATTTCCAGTAAAGCTAAAACATTAAAGGAAATCAATGTTTAAAACATTTTGTTTAGCCTTTACTTCTTCGTTCATTGTTTCTGGTTATTATAAGACCGCTTTATTAGGGAATTAGCTTTTTGTGGGTAAAAATGTAGACGAATCTCCAGTAAAACTTGGATTGATTTATGAAATCGAATAGGTTTATTCTTATGAGCATAATCAGAACATCGTTCGACTACTCGCCTGTTGTGTCCACTCAGTTAAATGACAAAAATATTTTATATGGTTGAAGTAAGAATTGAAATTCTTGTACCATCATATGTTGGATATAAATAAATAAATAATTGTATTTGAGGACCTGTTTAATTTAAAATTTTTCTCATGTTTCAAGTGGAACCGTTCTCTCTTAGTGAGACATGACGAAAGAAGGAAGATAAGCAATTTTCGAATTCAACCAGAAATTAATCACAAAAAAAAAAAGATTTCACTGATTTACTTTGAGAATTAAGTAAATAATTAGTAATTATAAAAGAAGAAAGAACAGATGAGTGTCATAAATTGTTGTATTCCTGTAACTGTTAATTTTCAATAAATTCTATTTCTTTTGTATGAGATTTCCTTTTTCGCACTTCCATCAGTTTTAAATCATCCAACAGTTCAGGATGAGATTCTGAGATTTCGATCAAATATATCAAATATGATCGATCTTTTAATGATGGCTTGTTTTTTATTTTTTGCCTCCAGGTCCTTAGATTTTTATTCTTTAATAGAATATTTAGATGAATGGTTTGATTTTCAATTGTAAATAATTTTGTTTTTTTTGATTTTTTCATTTATTAAAATTTTATAATTGATAAAGTAATTTCAATGATAGTTGCATATAATTGGCGATTTGTTTTTTTCATCAGTTGAAAAATATTGGATTTTGGAAAAAATTTGATTACTTAACCGATCAAACAAGAAAAAAATATCAATGTTATTAATATCAGTCAATATAAGGCTGTAACGAAATGGGACGAATGAACAAGGGCAATTTTACCTTACAATCGTTATTAAGGATGAAGCTGATAACTATTGAAGGCATTGCTTTGCATTTTGATAAGCACAGCAATCACTTATAAATTTTTTCACTCTAAATACATCCTGGTATCTAATTAACAGCCAATAACATATTATAGAATGTTGAAAAGAGAAAGGCGACGAATAGAATGGAAAATTTAAAAAGAAGAAAAGCGAAGAATCGTTAAGAACGATGGATAGATGAGGATGGGGACGGTAAATGATAGCATATTAATAATAGTGAAAAATCACTTATAATACACATATATGGCAGCGCTTGACGTTAACAGTAAAAAAAAGTCCATTATCGCTTATCAATATTTTATATACCTTGATATATTTTATGGAAACAAGAAACAAGAAGACTGAGCCCAATAGAAGAGATAATAAAACAATGCAAGTTGAGAAAATTGAATTAGAAAAATTAAAAACCTGATGGCGAATTTTATATTTGGAATAAATTTCTTCTGCTAACAATTTTTCCTTATTTGGCTACTGGATCCACTGGCTATTCGGATAGGAATTATTTATAAGAGAATCATTTAGAAAAGCAGATGAATCGCCAACAACGTTCGAAAGGGAAAGTTAGAAAATTTTTTGTGAGATTCTCTCGTAATAATAATATATGCAAAATATTTCATGGCGAACAAGTAGTTGAATTGAATGAATTTAAAGCAGACCTTCCATATTACAAGAAATATCGTTGGCAGTAGCAATGCCTAAACTTTGATTGTTGATATTCAACTTAGAACAAAAGTTTTAAGTTTTAAAAGTTTTAATTTTCCTCAAGATTTTCCGCTTATTTGGTTTCTGTTCGGACTGCTCCATCCCGAAATGTTATTGAAGACTGCCAATAAGACTGCTAATCAATATTTTATCATGAAATCATACCACATACGAGATTTTGTTCATAAATCTTCAATTTTTACTGAAAATCTTTATGCCAAATTTAAGTTATCTATTTGCGCCCGTTAGAGGGTTAGAAAAAGAATTTTTTCAAACCTAAATTTTCATATTTTAGGGATTCAGTTTTTAATTTTCATATAATTTTTTGTTTTAATTAATCGATTTATAACTAAATTTTGTTTTAAATAATCGATATGCAACAAATATTTTAAAACAAATCTATGCTATCTAAGCCATTTCCTAATTCGTAATTCCTCTCGTTATGGATTTAATTATTAACAAAAATTCTGAGCGATCAAATATCATCATCATAGTCAAATATATTTGTTTATATTGAGCTATATTATTCTTCGAAAGAATGAGATCGATATGATCGATTTATTTAGGTGATAATACTGATAACAGGCGATGTGAGTTGATCCTTTGAACAAATCAATTGGTGTATATATTTTGATGTTAGTCGGCAGTTGAGAAGCAGCTGTATCTATGTAAACATCGACCATATAAGGGATGGGGATACATGAGAAAAGAAAAATAACATCGATAAATATTATTTTATCATTATGATACTATATTATTCATGATATCCATATTCAAATACGAGTAAATAAGATGCAAAAATTCGTTATTCGTTAAAAACATTTCTTGCTTTTCGATTCTTGCTTTTTACCTCAGAATCATTTCGTAAAATTCTTTCATCTGATTTGAGCTTCTATAACATATTAATGCTGCTGAGCATGGGCAATTAACACAATAATTTTTACCTAGCACCTTCTTAGTGAATCTTCCGGAAGATTTGGTAACCATGGAAGAAAGATTGCGAAGCATTGCAATTCATTTCATGATTACTTATTGAAATATTAAATAATATTAAAATGATCATTGATATTGTATGTGATAATATTAATTCAAGCAGCTAGTTTTATTTATCTATATTTACTTTAGAAAATAATGATTGAGAAATGAAGAAATTGGCTGATGAATGATGGACTTTGTCATCAATTTAATATTAGTCGAAAAAATAATTAAAAATACAATTGTCAATCAGTGAAATTTTTCTTTTGGAACCAAATTTTTCTTATAGATTTTTTTCAGAACCACAATTTCCGACGTCAAGAAATCATTTTTAGGTCTTGTACAAGTTTCAAATTGGAAACCTTTACCATTCGATCAAATTACGGACAATCTTGACGATACAGTTGAATCGTTACTCAAAGATATCAGTCATAATATAACTTTAAAAATTTTAACAAAGCAGTACGTTCAAAATTTTTAAAAATTTTTTAATTCTTTTATTTTCTTTTATTTTCAATACTTTTATTTAAAATAAATTCTTTTATTTTAAAAAAATTATATCATGTTAATTAAAGTGATTACTTGAAATAGATAGATAAGTGTAAGTAAATGATGGTGCTCATCATTTTTGGTTCTATTGGCTATTCGTACGAATCATTTAGTGAAAGTCGGTAGAAGTTCAGGTGGACCACCGGCACCACCAGTGCATGAGCAGATAATAAAAGTGGATTATATCAAAAACGGGCATAAATTTAAAAATTTTTTACTGTGGAAAGTGTGGGCCGAGGATAAACATTGGAATAATGTAGATGAAACAAAACCATATGGTTGTTGTTTATATTTTGATAGCACTGTGCTTTCAAATATCATTCTTTGTTGGCTCAAACAGAGAAAATGATTAAATGTATAAGAACGAAAGGAAAATGCGTACGATGAAAGCGGGATATGTTCTACGAGAGGGGTTAAAATTTTATTTACTTGGATTAATGAGCGATGAAGAAATTTAATTGTAATGTTTGATAAGGGAGTAGAAGGGATCATAAGGGATCGCCGATTTGGAAGCAATCTTTTAGAAAATATTCCTTAAAGCGATAATGAGAATTCAAATTATTCATCATCATATATTTGAATCATTGTGTACAATCATTTTTTTCAACATCTTTTTTAAATCAAATTCATCAAATTACTTTTGCATTAAAAGTTTCTTGCATGCACCATGAGAAGTCGCAAATAAAATGGGTGATAGCCCTAATTTTATTTCGTATAACGGTACTCAATGGTATTCCAGATCATCGACTGATTCGTCCAGTTCGCAATGTATATCCGAGCTTCGTCAACGTCTTCTAAAAATTGCCATATCAAAACAACCACAAATACTTTCAACAGTTGATAACGAAGAAATTAAGGTAGATAAATTCGTTCATCCACTATATGCATTCTCAATTTTCACGAAAAAAATCCTAAAAAGATCGAAGTTTGAAATTGTTTGAAATTTATCATTAAATGCTGTTTATTAGTTTAAATCTGGTGTTGAAATCTGGAAATTCTAAATAATTTAGTAAGAAAAATATATGAACCTTTTCTTATTTATACTTAACCATCATTTTAAGAAACAATTTACCACCATTGGCTTACCAAAAAAATAATTTTTGGTATATTTTCTAAGGTTAACCTTATTGATCTATTTTCAGCAGTTGATACAACAAGTGATTGCTGGAGATGATCCTTCAGCACTGAGTTTTGAGCAAATCCGAGCTATCAATGAATGGGTCGAACAGATTGATGATGGTAGTTGGGATAGGAAAAGGTAAGATTTGTTAGTTACAAACGGTTATATCCATTAAATATAAAATTTTAATTTTCTTACTCTTAATTTTTACATTTTTTCATGTTTTCGAATTTTTTTAAAATGTAATGAAAAGAATTCCATGAAAATGAACATAAAAAGAATTTTTGCACTGACTTTGATTTATGTTAATCGAAGAGGGGTGTAAGGCAATTCCACGTCTTCAAAATGTTTTTATTAGCATATATCATCAAAATTTTGGATAATACAAACATCATAAATTAGCAGATATCAAGCGAAGATTGTTTTTGATCAATAAAATTTCCATGTGAATATAATTTTATCTTTCACCGTTGAGAATTTTCATGGAAAAAAATCAAGTTTTCCCTAATTTGTTAAATCACGCAATAACAATTCCTTGAATCCACCATAAAGCAAGATAACGAAGTGGAAAGTAGTTCAGATCATGGTATTCAAAGGCAAAAGTTCCGCTCTAGTCTCCATTAAAGTAAATCAGTCATTAAAAATCCTGATGACGCTTACACACATCTAGACTTCTGTCAAATGACTTAGTGACTCCCTAGCAAAAATTTCTAATCATACTTATAGCTAGCGAACTGTGACTAACCAGGAATGCTGAGCATTTATAACAAAACAAATATGAATATAATCGATGATATGGATCTTCATTTTCGATAGTTAATTTCTTTAATTTTCGAATGAATTTTTTTGCTATAAAATTTTTCTATTTTTTGGCGCGACTGGATGCCCGTTAAGCAAATCAAACAGCTGCATCCGGTAGGGCTTAAACAAAGCTTCTTCAGGACGAAAGAGTTGCATTCATGAAAACGATAAAATATCGGCTTATGAATTTTTGATGGAAGAATGTAGCAAATTTTTTACCAATATCAATATTCATAAATGCGGAAATCCTTCTTTAATCTTACACCTTCTGTTCTTTTCACACAATTTATAGTTAGTTAAATTTAGCGAATAGCTAACATGACCTTATGTCTTCATTCTATTTGTCCCATGGCTTTAATTTCTATAATTAATTAATATGGACCTATTGGGTTTCATTCGCCATTTGCCAGTGATCCAGTTTTATCATAATAAATCGCAACCAAAATTTAGTTTTGACAAGAAATAGGATTAAAAAGATAGGAAAAGACATTGTTGATGATACACTATCGCTGAGCATATAAATAGCACAGTATATATATGCGATCGAACTTTGAAGATAGAGATTGTGAGTATAGCTAATAAATATTTAGTTGAGCTGTTAAGCTAACATACATCGATAAAATTGCCTGACTGAAATACTTTTATGGGGGAGCGAATTCAAAATATTATGAAATGAAATTTTAAGCTGAAAAAGAAAATTAGTAATTCGTAATTATAGCTTAAAATTTTTATATATAATTTATTAATTATATGGAACAAATTTCATTTCTTAATCGTTAGAATAGTTTTGTTAATGTTAGAAAATTTAAAGTAGCATTAAGACAGCTTGAAAGAATAGGCTTAGCGTGAGATCATTAAGGATAGGAAGATTAGGCCTACTAAATAGCATTTTTTGCCATAAACCTGAGTAACAAATGAAATTGCTGAGAATCCACACTCGCAGAGAAAAACTAATGCGAATCTCTATTCACAAATAATTCTCGGGCGAAAGCGTCTCACTCTAGTAATTAACCAAACCAGAAATGCCGTTAGAAGAGGCGAAGAAAGAGATATCTTAGAATCATTTCAGGAAATTATAAAAAATTATGAAAGAAAATATACTAAAATTCTGACAAAAATTTTTGATTCTCCGATTGTTAGTATTGTTGAATTTCGATCTGAAATAACATTGCCATATTTCATATAACAAATCTACAATTGCCCGCTATATTTCATCAAAAGCCTTTTTTTATTTCTATAGTTTAGAATGGCAGAAAGAGAGAAAGGAGCGAGGAGGAGAGGGAGTGAACTGAGATTTGGTATTTTGCAAATTTTTTATATCTTTTATGCCATTATTCCCTTTAGAAGCTTCGGTAATGACGTCCTTTCGCTCCTTTCAAATTTCAATATTATTTAACAAATTTATTGACACTTCGATCGGCTAGTTTTTGTAACTTGTTTCTGGATTACACAAAAACGATTTTGATACGGTATCTCATCGTAATAATTGGATCGAACTCACCATTGTTCATTTCTGCATCCACTGCAAAAATCATTGCAATTCAGTGCCTTAGCAGTACGGTACAATGTAGGTTGGTGATCATTAAATGTGTGAATTTAGCGGCCAAATTTCTAAAATTCATACCTTAGCATTATCTCCTATAGCTGGAGGAACTTTTCCTTCTATTTCTAGTTTGCCTAAATATACTGATTGCTTGAGATGAATGAAACTCTTATCAAGGGAGTCATTTGAAGGAAGAGTAGAAATCGGATTGATTTCTAATATAAACTTTGGAAAATTAACTAATTTTACAAAAAATTTTCCATTTTTTTTTTTTTTTTGGTCCTCTAAATTTCGGTTTAAATATATAATGTAATATAATGAAGAGAATTTTTTAAGATCTACTTAAACGAAGTTTTAAATACATTTATATCAAATCTCCAATCAAAATCTCCGAAGCTGGTCTTAGGACTGAATTTTTTCTAGATTTTGGAAAAATAACAAAAAACATTGTAATAGATAACCTTCTCGAAGTAGTTAGAGATGCAAGCCAAATTATAATGGTGAACATTAATAAATAAGTACAAAAGTAAGTGGTCTGCCATTTCTTGATTAGACTTACTCAGCTGGCTCCTGAAATAGTTAAAAATTTCTACCAGAGAAATTATTTGGAAGAATATAGATAGAGCACCAACAGGATTTTTCAATGGCAGGCTTATTCTTGTCGGAGCCGAATCTTTGTCCCATAATACGATCTGAACCATTGCTGCTTCTACTCCTCATGCATCGTCATCTGTTTGACGTTGAAAAAGTTTAAAAAGTTTTATTTTTTACCAAAATGCTTGCCCATAATTTAATTTTTTTTATTCAAGATTCATCTTCGCAAGCAAAAAAAATTTATATATTATATAAGATGTAAATAGCAGCGAATGATACTGTTTGTTGCCCATAGATTTGTGCATACATAACATTAACGACGCAAAAATGCTCTTTTGATTCGATAGCCTAAATATTCGGTTGAATTTGCTTATGGACATCGTTTTAGATGTTAGCATAAATAGAGATAGAAACAACACAAACACTGCTGATGCAGAAATATTTCATTATTCAATCCATCTTACGCTGCCTTTAGTTATAAAAATTTATTGTTATATATCATCAAAACCAATACGGCATATATACATGTATATACACAAAATACTTTTGTATGTTTTTGTACACCTTCTCCCCTTCTTTCCGCTCCTCCCTACCCCCGTCCTCCCCACTTTTGTTTCTCTTTTTTAATCATACTGCATCGTTATGATTAGAAAACTTTTTAGTTTATCGAATAAAACCCAATGAACTAAAAAAATGAATTTTTATAAAAAATGAATTATAAATCACAAATTGTGCAAAATTTTTTTCAACTTTAGCTGAGAATTTTGGAATTTTGAAATTATTATTTTAATTCTACAAGTTACAACAAGTTACAACTTTAAAATAAGTTAATTACAACTCTAAAACTTATTTATTTAGTTATTGGAGTAGGTTATTACAGCTCATTATTTTTACAGGAACAAACCTTTGTAAAAAATATTGGTGATTTTGGGAATCCAATTTTATTTCTTCTACCCACAAGTGATTCACTGACTGAAATTACTCATCTTCATAATAACTAGGGAGCAAATCTAAGCAGAATTGGTAAATACTAATCACTTATTTATTTAGAAGAAGATCAAGCAGGACAACAGACAATACGGCAATTTTAAACCATAAGCAGTATATTTTTCATGCATAAAATATTTTTAATTTTATTAAAATATTTATTACACATAAAAAATCCTTTAATCTCTTGTTGAACAGAAAGTAAAAAAAATTTTTTTTGGGTAGCATTTTTAAAAATTCTATGGATTAACAATCTTTCGAAAATTTCCCTCTTATTTCTGATCGTCGATGATGGAGCTGTGCTAAAAGCAAGATCAAACTTGCCACTAAAAAAATCTGGATAATGGTAATCAACCTAAATTTCTATCGCCAAATGATTTCGTGGCAAAAATTTCTGACCTGTTATTAAATGGAATTAGCCTAACCAGAAATGGAGAGCGCCGAATTACTTCGTTTCACTTATTTTTATACAGAACAATTTAAATCGATAAATATAATTCAAATTTGTGGAAAAGTTATTGAAAAAATTTTGTTACAGTATCTTAGGAAATTTTCATTGACTATGTGGATTTAATGTCCTTTAGTTTCTATTATATACTTATGCTTTTATACGAAATATATTTGTGAGATGTCGATCCATTTCAAAATTGTTTATTACAACTATAATCTTCATAAACAAATCGCTTTTGGGATAATTTTAGATTATGGATTAAATAGTAAATGCATTTATTGCACCGGAAAATCTCAAGAATACCTTTCCTTAGCTTGAACATCAGCTTTTCAACTTTTAAACTTAGCTCATATCTTTATTCTTTCAAAAAGAATTCTAACACTAAGATAGAAAAAAAAAGAAAAATTCTGCTTCTAGTATTACAAAGTATTTCGGAAAAAGCCCCATTTTTAGCCTTTTTTCTTTTTTAAATCTCTCCCTCCTTACAGAATTTTTCGTCTTATTTAAATAACTCACTTTTCTCACTTTTCGGCATATTCGGTGAAATTCGCAGTGCCATATATAGAATTCGATGTCTTAAGCGAAATTTCTTATCACATACTTCTGATATATATCTTGTTTGTTTTACTTATTTAGCTAATGAAAACAACAGTAACACAAATGTTTTCAATCGAAAAACTTTATATATATATATATATATATATATATAAAGGTGGAAACTGGATTCTCCTTGAAAAAAATTTTCTTTTTACTTTTATAAACGTAGAAATATAATATAGAAATCTTAAGAAGTTATTGATCATTCAATCATCCATTTATCCTTATTTCCATACAAATTTCTATTTGTACTGAAAATTTTTTTTATGCTTATTTTTTAAATTGTGCTTTTATTAAATTTAGAAATATTTTAAAAATAGAAGATTATCTTAATGAATTAGTTTAACTGTATTATGCTTATTAAATAAGAGAAATTTAATTTCGAATTAGTAAGCGTTTGTGGTTGAAATATCTTTCTGCTAACTATTAGTACTCTAGAAATAGCTTTAGAAAGCTATAGAAATATAGTGGCTCACTAGTATCATCCAAGCTTTCTATAAGTGAATTTCTCCTGAATTACAGGATTTATCTGCCGGGGGCAGGAATCGAATTCTCAACACGATTAAGCTGAGCCACTATTTATTCCGCAGTGCCCCTCAATGAAGTCTGCATGTAAGGATATTGGAATATAGGTTGTAGGAAAAAATCACACTAATCGATTTAATCACACTAATCCTAGTTTGCAGAAAATATTCTTCCACAAAGAAGATATTCAAAAAACAATGTGGCAAAAGTCATCATTACCAATAAAAATACATTCTATTGGGATACAATAGCAAATATAATTGAATAAATCTGGTTTGGCACTACTTACAAAAATGTTGCCACAGTAGATGATTTTGATGTCACAGCATGTTATTTGTATTTGTATCTATTTGTATGTGCGTATGTGCGTATGTGATGTTAAAGTGGTGGTAGATAATTTAGGGTTGACAAAGTGCTAAACGAAATTAAATTGAAAACTGGTTCTGAAAAATTGTTAATCAATCTGATCTATCCTGACACAAAAAAAAATTTCTTCATTTTTCAATTCGATGATTAGCATCAATTAAGCAACCAGTTTGAACCAAGCCATCAAAATCTTACTTTATATCCACGTGATCATTTTTTTACTTCTTTCGTCTTCTTTAATTCTTTGACTAATCTGAAACTGGCTTGGCTCAAATTAAAATAATGGTTGCGCAATAAACTATTTGTATTTCTTCCGAGTTTCTTTGCCAACTGGTTTCAATATGGTTTTATGAATTGCTATATGATCAGCTAATTATTTAGTAGTATTCCAATATCAACATGCAAATGGGAATCTAAAAAACAAATAGAATTTAAGAATGCTCAAATTATGCTCCTCAAAGTTATTATATCTCCAAAATTATGCCTTCACTTAAAAAGTAAAATGGTAGTAGAGGGAGATACAATGTGAAATGAATGGATGAATGATTATCAGATTACTTTTTTTTATTACTTTACTATTCTATTGTTTTACTCTATTACTTTTTACTTTCGCAACAAATTTTTTCAGTCCTCTTTAGATTGTGATGGTCCTAGGTGATTAATGTCTGCAATATTTTAAGAAAATATACGAGCAAATTTATGAGGTAATATCAAGAATATTGAAGAATTTGTTGAATTTAATGAAGACAATTAGTTTATAGTAAATTTTGCAAAATTGTAAAATATATAGGGTGGCGCCATAGTCGAATTACTTGAGAATAAACTCATTCTATTCACATTGATTCTGATGATAGATTCTGATTTCATTTGATCTCATTTGAGAATGAGAAATGGAAATATGAATAAGCCTTCCAGCACCATTCGTTTTCAATGAGTTTGCTTCATTCATGGACAAAAACCAAACTCATGGAACTCATGGAATCATGGGACAGTACTTAATCAATTCCTATAATTTGGAGATAAGCCTATTATTTTTTTCTAAAAATAAGCCAGGGAAAATTTTGTAAAAAATATGATTTTGTAAAATGATTAAATAATATTTAATACTTATTTAGGCAAAAAGGATTAGCCAAATACTAATCGCTTCAATGATCTCTCTGAATTATTGGCAATGAATTTTAGGCGTAGCTTAAAATATTTTCAATCCCAACAAAGTTTCTTTTGGGATTTTATTGCTCGATGGGATTATCTTTTGGATTTAATATTTACTGGCTTACGCCTTCAACAAAATTTTCTTCTAAATCAAAATTCGCTAGAAAATTTTCGGGATAGACCTTTTTCATTTTCCACATAAAATTCTATATTTCGACTATTTCATTTGTTTAACGGTATTCCCAAAATGAAGGTTATTAATTCGGAAATCAAGTTAGTTTTTTCTTTTTAGTTCTTTTTTAATGATCACATCCAATCAGTGGGCCACTTCAATTATTTTTTATTTTGAAATTAGTTTTTTACATTCGAACAAACAAAAATTTAAAATTTTGAAACAGTCACATCCCCTTGATGAATGAATTTTCGGTATTAATTTGCCAAATTATTACTGAGTTTCCTATTTATTTATAAGAAAATCAAATAGGCGAGTATTAACAGCGTAAAGCATTGAATAATGGTAGAATATAATATTAATTTAATTTAAAAAGGAAAACCAAAGTTACCAAAATTTTAAGAATATACTGAGGATAAAAGGAAATAATTGGTGCTCATCATTGGATGCCTACTCCTCTAGTTGTTAGAATGAGGAATTTTTGCCAAGAGACACTTGGCAATAGAAATTAGGTTAGAAGTGACCTGCACGATTTTCTTGCCACCAACTTCCTTCGGAAGCGGATCCTAAAGATGATCTGAGATGAACTCTTATACTCTTACTCTTCTTCGTAATTTCTTCTTTCTGAATTTTGGACAATTCTGTTTAATTTATTTTTAAAATTAGGCATTGGTGAAGTATAATTTATCTCATTAGGAAAATGTTTCCTTAGTTTTCTATTTTGAAAGCTCATGAAAGCTATCATATTGTGGATGTCAAAAATACTGGATTGCTGATCTAGTTTGTACCAGTAATCTAATCCTGCAATCCGATACTGAAAAATAGATCGACTAATAGGCATTTAATTCATCTCATGCTGATTTAATAAATATTTCAGTTCCTTTTATCAAACTCGATTCAATCAGTTAATTGAAGTGCCAAAACTTGAAAGATGGTTTCGTAATGATCAAAATCCATCGCGACAAAAGCTAGTTAATTATATGAATTTACTGAATGGGTCAAATTATCGTAAACATAACACAAAAATTACTTATCAGCAAATATGTAACTGGTTCGCTAATCAACGAGCTAACCACAGGTATAACTTGATATTTTATCAATTTCAGACATTAACCAATTGTCTAAGATTTTCTATTTATGTTTTCTTGAATAAATCTTTTTAGACTTTAATTCAGATCTTCATCACATCTGAATCAAACTATTGTTCATAGTACAACTATACAACCATCGATGGTCACTTCAACTCAGCCAATTCTGTCAATCGACTTTCGTCCGAAATTTGATTTCAATACATTAAGTGAAAACAAGCAATCCAATGGTGTTAGCGAAGCAGAAGTAAATTTCATGAATTGTGTACCTAGAAAGCTTTCCTATAAATTCCTTCAAAGTAATTTATGGAGATTCAAGGATGTATCCTTGGAATTTCAGGAAATTCAACGAATCGATGGTGGTTCTGACTCGCCAACGCCTAATGATGATGCAAGTGTGCATAGCACTAGTGATGGCGGATTTGATAATGAAATACCGCAAAAACAGGTAGATTATTAATATATCAGGTTGTAAGCTTATTGCCTATAAAAGAATCGTAAAAATATAATATATATAAAATATAATATATAAATATAAAAATATAATATAAAATATAAAATATATAATATAAATATAAAAATAATATCGAAAGCCGGGCTCAAAGTTTCTAATTATGCTAGAAACAAATGATTTCAATAGGTATAACATTTCAAGTTGGAATGAATGAAGCAAATAAAATATAGTAATGTGCATATAGTTTGGATTAAATCAACATTAAAAAGCCATAAAACTATTTTAGAATCCTCAAGAGCTCGTTACCTCATCACCAGAGCTATCGCTGGATTTAAATGGAAGTCTTGCGTCAACATCACCAAAACCGCCTTCGACCTCGAATTTATTAAATGGCAACGGATCCTCAGCACAATCACAACCGAGTCGATCTCGCTTAATGTTTGATCCTCTAACTGAATTGCCGGTACTAGAAAAATGGTTCGAAGAAAACCCTCATCCAACATGGATCCAGGTGTGATTCATTCAAAATAATTATTAAATTAAGAACTATTATACTCACATAGAATCAGCCAAACCAGAAATGGTAATTGCTCTTAGAAGAATAAAAAGAAATCTTAGTTTATTTGTGAACTAAACATTTCAAATATTTAAATATTTAACCAACCATAAATCCAATAAATGAAGACAACTGAAATTAGATAATAATTGAATTTGGCTCAGTTGGCCTCTTGTTGCAGCCAAATGCTATTTCCTAACGGTGTGAACTGTTAGAAAAAGAAAAAAATTGAAATTTGGGAAAAAAATAAAATAGTGGCACTAAATAAGAATTAATTGTAAATATTTGTGTTCTGTATGATCTGATTTTCTTAATGAACACAAAATCTGAAATAATTCAATTTTTTCAAATCGATCAAGAGCTTTAAGTAGTTTAGTGGACACATAAATGTAGAAAAAACTCAATATTTCATTTTTTTTAGATTGATCAATATACAGAAGCTTTAAATAGCTGTCAGTACCGGCAAAGTTATCCACCAATCTCCACACATAATGTGAAAATTTGGTTCAAAAATCGCCGAGCGAAATGCAAAAGAATGTTAACAGGAGATTTGAAAATGGAAAAATGTTTTTAGAATTTACTCATATCAGTTAGCCAATCATGGGTTTCTATCGTTTAAATTTATTCCTTCACTAATGACCACTTAAAGAATAAGCTGATAATCCTCGGTAATGTCTCGGGACAAGACATCCCAGCGAAATCTAATTCATCTTTATCTTTTCATTCAAAAGGAAGGAACCTTCGTGGATACGAACTTATGATGATAGCAAAATATTTCGGGTTGATCTAACGATAATTTTGCGGGTAATTTAGCAAAAAAAGACTTCCTATGATTTTCATATATTTCGCAGAATTCTTTTTCTATTAATAACATCGTTCACGGGTTTCACATATTGTCTAGATTTTTTTTCTATTTTTCGATGATTTTTATAAGAGCGGTGGCATACCCAAGTGTTCAAGAGTAAATGCAGTAAAATGAGGGAGTTATACTATCGGATTATTCATTTTCGAGAAATTTGGTAAAGTACAACTGAAAAAATATTTTTAATTTTTTCTCCATAAATTTTCCAGTTTTGCTTTGATTTTTTATTCAGGATTTTTATTATTTTTGTAAGTCTTTTCTAAGAAACAATAGATTCACTTGATTAGAATAAACCCATTTTGAAGGATATTTTCCTTCTTAATGTTTTAAATTATTTTGTATATTCTTTTGTGAATTTTCGTCGATGTTTCTCTACTTGTGAGCTTCAAGCAGCGAACTTGAGATACTGCGGTCTTAAAAATATTAATTTACAGATTTTTTTAGTGATGGCTTCGAATTTATGAGTTCTTTCCTAATCACAAAACTCTCTAATTGCTGATTTAATGGAAGGAAGATGACTGTAAGCAAACATCTATTGATAATCTTATGTTTGCACAGCTAGTTAATTAACAAACATTTGTAATCCGCTAAAGTAACTTGGAATCATCCATCTGAATTTAATGAATGGATCTCAGTGGAAGAGGGAATTTCTCTTTTTCTTTAAAATTTATGGTGAATAAATACCTTAAGAGCCATGAGAAGGAATAAAGAAGGGTGATCGAATAATTCAAATTTATGAAAAAGGAATGTTCCCAAAATTTCGTCGAAAATCCAATTAATCGTAGAAAATCAAAGGTGCCAAGATTCATATTAAGTTAATTCATGTAATTTCCTGCACATAGTGAAAAGAAGTTCGATTTCGCTATGACATCGGTGAAAATAGGAAAACCATAAAGGATGCAAGTGATATCTTGCACCGGTGATCTTAAAAATACTTTCTTTTTTAATGAATATTTTAAAGCCTATTTTTCCGGTTTCTTTATTTTTTCCATTAATTTCGAAACGCGTATTTTTTTGCATTCCATACTATCTTAATTCAGTTACTTCAACTTATTTCAATTTTATTGCCAATATCAGAAAATCCATCCATAAATATTATATCCTTAAATGCTAAATGCATCCATAAATGCGTAGCACCTCTCTTAACCAAGTTCAATTAATCCTTATTATTTCTCGCTGAAAGTAGGCCAGATTTTTTCCTTAGTTGAAATAGGCGACTGAAAAAATCATCAGTCATCCCAAAGGAGAGAGCCATAATGATATGCGCATTAGTCTTTACCTTCCTTTACCATCCTATCACCATAACTTTTCTTTTGCTTGTTACGGCCTTTTGTGAATATAAAAATCACTGAATCACTATTGGCCTACTTAAAACCCTTCTTAACTCGCTTTCTATGATACAAAATTATTTATGAATTATTTCATTACTTCGTAAGTGCTCTCAGTTGAATGTGATATTATATTGTGCCTAATAATAATTACACGATATTGAAGATGCTAATGTAATTTATTTGCCAATATTCAATTGCCTTTCGGGTAAATACATAACAGAAATCACATATCCATGCATACAAGCATTTGCATCATGCGCAAGCGAAAACATCAAGAAATGTGCAAATAAACAAATTAAATGAGAAATATATCACACATTAAAAAGATTTAGGGTACTATACTATGAATAAAGTAGAAGGGCGTCCACATCCTCAAATACCTCGGAACTGATAATCAACTCACAGATACCCTTGAAAATCATGAATATTGGCAAATTCGAAACAATTTTTTTTAAAAGCATTTCTTGCCATTATTATTACTTATTAGTTCTTTCTGTATCTTAACTGAACTTAAAAAAAATGTTTTCACTGTAACTTTTTCCTGATTATTGTTCAAATTTTAAGTCATTTTTTGTTTTTGTTTGCTATGTATGGATGCAAAAATTTTTTAAACGTTTATCAGTTAACAAACGAAAGGTTTCCGGAAACGTGAAGAATGCCGATTTCAATAAGACGGATGGATCTTTTTTGGAACAAAGCACCACTGAAAATTTTTAGTCGTTTTTAAGTGGAATTTTAATATCACATATAACGACAATGACAAAAACATCTCTGGAAAGCAATCCATAAAAAAAAACAATTCCCTTTTGAAATCCCTTGTAAATTATTTTTCAATATTATATTCAATTTTCGAATAAGATTTGAAACAGGAGAACTGGTTAGCGTTCGTCATTTCTGATTAGGCTAAATTCTGCAAGTTAGATTTTCGCCGAGGAGTTACTTAGTCGCTTCATCATAGAAACATAGGCTCGAATTTTTAATGACATCTTCCTAGGGGCGCCATCCTTGCCTCTCAATACGATGGTCTAAACCACTATTCACTCAACTATGCAGACCGCCAGACTCAAAATTTACTTCCTTCAGGTGAATTTTTCTCAGAAATTTTCTACAAAACTCAAAAACCATTTAAAATCCCATCCATTAAACTTAACTACAGCCAAAATCGATAGAACATCAGAACCAAATCATACTTTGAACACCATTTCAAATATGATTTAAAACGATTTAGAAAGAAAAACTGAATGCAGAAAACAACAGAATTTAAACAGAATTCAGCGAATCGTCAGCAAATATTCCTTTAACATATATCGACAATGACAAAAACATCTCTGGCAAGCAATCCATAAAGATTCGATTCAAGAAATTATCTTTAGCAATTCTCGACAATACCACTCGAGATAAAAATAAACATATTCTAAAATTCGCCAATTTAGAATTCCGCAGTTAAATAGAGACTTAGCTTCGAACCTGTAAAAGAACACAAATATGGTCTCAAGCAGTCTGCTGCTGGAATATTAAAATATGGTATGGAAAATATATAGCAATGACGTTTTCAACTTGAGTAAAAATACTTGAGTAAAAATGCATGAAATACGAAACGTTGCAATCGTAAATGAAATTTGATACGTTCCATTTCAAATTACGCGCTACGAAAATTTATTATTTGCATGCTTTTTAAATAATTCTTTTTAATGAAAATGAAATCTGTATTATTATTCACACCAAAATAAAAATTGGATAAGATTGAATATGCAAAATCACAATGACGAAAAATCACCAAGTGACAATGGTGATATTAGAACACTAATAAAGAGATTCATCTTATGGATAAGGAAATTCTTAATTCTTTCCTTTAAATCAAAATATTTTAAGCTTCAAGGATTTTCCTAACATCCTTTGAAAAGCTAATAAGCTCTTAAAAGTCTTAAAAATCTCAACTTCTGATTCCACTTACACCTCTTTAATATTTATTAATATATTTATTAATATTAGACAGGTTTTAAATATCAAATTAAAATTAAGCACATTTTAAGAAAATAAGTTTTAAGAGACAAGTTTTTACAATGGTCTATCAACGGTCTATGATGCCTATATAATATAATATCGCTGAGGAAATGTGATTAAAAAAAAATTAAAAATAAATTAGGATACGAAAGAATCGCAATGGAGAGGGAAGGAAAAAACTTTTTAAGGGGCTATGGATGAATGATCTTGCGACGTAATAATAAATATATATTGAAAACCAGCCAAGCAGGGTGACAAACGCCATGTGCTTATATTAATAACAACAGTTAAAATAATTAATAAAAAAGAAAAAGAAAATAAGACAAAAATCAATTTAAAGAGAAAATAAAAAGGAAATTACAAAAATGGAAGCAGAATTTAAAGAATGATCGAATGAATGAATCGATAATTACTAAAGATAATTAGATAATTAGTTCAAAAGCTCAGAGGCCCGATGGCATGAAGATATTGAAGTCGCAAACATCCAGTGTATCCGATGAAATGTTCAATGATGATTTCTTGAAAGATGATTTTTTCACCGATTATCCACCACTCCAATCTAAATTCGGCAAATTATACATTTGCGATTTTGATTTATGACGGCGACGGCGGCTGCTTAATTCATTCTGCTTAAATAAAATTAAAATCGATATAAAATGTAGAAAAGATCATTAGGTTGTGGTTTTCATTCCGATGCGCTGAAAATAGGATCTTAATTCAGGCAAAAAGAAATTTATCTTTCAAAAACCCGGGTAATTCTAGTGTTTCACTGGCAAAATATTATCGAAGATAGCGAAGATAGTCTAACCAGAAGTGAGCTCTCTTAGAAAAAAAGGAGAAAGCTGAAGATTGAATAGGGAGAGATTACTAATGGGTTGCTGTCGACTTCTCCACGAATTTATCTATGAAATATTAAATATCCTTTGCAATCTTATCTCCTTCCTTATCCGCTATCTCTTCCCCAAACAATTTTCAATGAAAATATAATGATACAAATGAGACAAGGCAAACAGTAAAGTTTGGTAAAACGATAAAATGCAACGGAAGAGAATGGTGAGAGATCATGATCATGACTAAATTTTAGGGAAGGAAACGCCTAAAAAGATAGTTGGATTCCAAAAGGATGCCGTTAATGGATTAGGAAGAGAACATTTTGTTTGGATAAGTTATTAAATGGGAATGGGAAAAAGGTTAATACGGTATAAAACGGTAAGTTAGAAGAGTATTCCCAAAATATGGTAGACTTATTTTTTTCAGAAATATAAAAACTAATTAACTAAATTATTACATTATATAGATTACACCAGTATTTGCAGCTAAGTCCGAACTTGAAATCTTCCAGCCCTTGTAATATATTTAACACCTTTGAATGGCTTGTATTTTTCGCCATACATATCCAGCCGATTAACTTTTAAACCCGAAACAGCCAACTGGTTTATTCGAAATTTCACTGTAATTGGTGGCGTTTCCACAGCTATATTGCTGTTAACAGACACCTTAATTATCCTTAATTATCATCAATTGAACGTTAAATGTATATTTTTTATTTTTTTTTTGAGATTTGTCGATATTAAAGAAATTTCGATAATTTATATAATTAGACAGAAATTAGTAATACCGATCCCTTTAGAGTTGGTGGTTTTCCAAGTTCAATCTTGCCAACATTCCACTGTAGTAATTTTGTAGATGGGTCAAAAGTACATTTTCCATTACTAGGAATAAGATTACAATTTTGAACGGATTTCGGCAATAACATTTCTACAACAACTTCCTCCAACTGAAAAAATTTTTTATGGTTTTCAAAATTTTCAACAAAGATTACATAAAACAAAAAAATTGTTCAAAAAAGTGTTAAAACCAGCTTTTTACAGCTAAATTGATAAACAGGCTGAAAGAAATTAAAATATATTTTACGAAAAAATAAAAGAAAATGCAAAGAAAAGCAAAATTTACAACTTTTCCCATGCTTTGTTTAGGACCGACGGTGAGTTCAATGCGACCATTCGTTCCTCCTTTTAATAATATACTATGCCGTACATAAATGGGTATTGCCACCATACTAAAAAAATACACCGAAGTAATCAGTCATAGATCACTTTTATCAGATAAAAAGATAACAGAACTTTTTATATGAAAAAATTCGATTTTTACGCGATTTGAGATGCGACATAAATATTATCTTCACCGATTATTTCCACGCTACGATAGAAAGAAACAGAGAAAATCAAGAAAAACGACTGAGCTATTTAACTGGAACATCAGTGGCTTAATAGCAAGATGACTGTCACCACGAACCAAGAATGGTTCGAATTCGCAGCCAGCCGACTTCATATCACGTTTCATCCACCGCAAGGCGAAAACAAAAGGAGACAAAATGGCCCAGTGGCTTGTTACCCAGTTTGCAGATTGAGGTTCTATATCCTACAGAAACTTATCCTTCAAAAATTCTCTGGAGAATCATTCATAATCCTATTGTCAAATGATTCCCTAGTAAAATTTGTCAGGTCCGACAAGCCACCGGCACCAACCTAATCAGAAACAGTAAGTGCATTTAAGAAAAAAACTTAATAAACTAAAATAGTGGTGTCCAAATTTTTTAAAGTAATTTAAAGTAATTTAGTCTAAACAGACTTTAATTTTTGATAAAGAAAGTTGGAGGGAAACAATAAATAATGTTTAAATGATACCTCTGTGAACCAATGTGATAAGAAAGAAGGCGAAAATTACCATCTGGAGGAATAAAAGAAAGAACACGCTCATTCTACAATGTAAAGAAAATGTAAAAGTAGGAAAATCAATCAAATCATAAATTTTCTATAAAAAAGTTCAAGAATAAAAACCTCCCATCGTTTGAAACGGACACATGGGTGAAAAGAAACATCATCGAGCAATCTCGGGTTCACTAAAGACATGGTTAAATCCGGCATACCTGACAACTTACAACAACAGTCGATCTAAAATCGAGGATTTGCTATAAAATTATATTTCTACATTCTATTTCAAAATATTCTTATGAAAAAAGCAACTGAAGAGAGCAGATTATCAAAAAGGAAATTAAAATACTATGATATACTACTTACATAACCCTGAATTTCTGAGAATACAGTCGCGCCTTGTTTATCAATGATTGCATCTATTTCTTCAATTACGTCAAAATATGCTTCATTATTTGTATATTTAACATCTGCTCTGCGCCATGGTACATTTGATAATTGCCCAGTTGGAAGAACTTCTGAAAAATTCGTTCGACCAATAACCTGCGAAAAAAATTATTGATAAATTTCAGTGAAAAAGAAAATGAAATACTGTTATATAAATACTGTTATATATATTATACTTCTGTTCATACTACTGACTAATGACTTTTTCTATGAGAATATGAAAGCTAACTTTTGTTGTAAAATTATTAAATCTGCTATTGTTAAAGCAATACTTGATTGGCGATGGTACGAAGAAAATTTGGAGGCTTAATCAGCTCTTGCAAAATATTCAGTTCAGTTGCAAGAGGAAATCCATTATCGAGCATTTCATCTAGCAACTATAATTAAGAAAATGAAAATGATCAATCATTTTTTTTAAAATTTTTTCGTGAGTTACTAATCGATTAAAAATCATGAACTATGGAAAATCAGAATGAAACAGAATGCAATTTATTATAACCATAACCGTTAATTTTTTTTAAGGAAATACTGAGCAAAAACCTCAAAAAAGATGACACAATTCTCTTTAATTGAATTGTTTGAACATTCATCGAAATATTCCGTGAAAGTGCCAATTATTCGGTGCAAAAATTCAATTACCATTAACGGTGAAGCTGAATCAACAAATGATAGGTTTGAAAATAAATTTTATAGTACTTGTGGATTATATGGGACTGCTCACAGAAGGCACTACATCTACAAATATTTCATTCTTTCCTTCTCTTTTTCCTCCTATCCTATCGCTATGTTTCTTCAACAATAAACGATCTAACAGTCTCATTATAATGTTCTCTACTATCGCCGCAATATAATTTATTTTCCGTTAATAATTTATAAATTACTGCGAATCCACACCTATGAGTTCATCCCTCGTTTCATTTTTCTATGGATCTGTTATTCTATCAACAATAAATCGCTAGAAAAAAAATCGCTTTCGGACAGTAAAATTTTTATCATAAATCCCTCCACAGCATGAGTCAAAATGATAGTAGGATTGCGTTAATATGCTGATTTTATATAATTCAATTCACAAATAAAAGAATCGCAAATAAAACATGAAAAACTTGGCAATATATGATCGGGAATTTAGGAAAATAAAAAAAAAAGCAGAAAAATTTGCAACAAATTACTTTCGGCTGTCGTTACTGCCAGAAAAAAGAGTTGATTGTGATAAACACTGATAAGATAATGGTGTGGTGTTGATATTACTGGAGGGACGTCGTCCGCACATGCAGCCTATTTACAAAATAAATTGACCCATTAAACTCGTAATGAAAGAGGAAAGAAGAAAAATGAGTTTATGAATATAAAATTTATGAAAATATTTATGAATATAAAATTTATTAGACATAAATTCAAATATTTTTTAGAGTTGGAACCATAGAAACGGAATTCCATTAGCACCTATCAGTTGCATACCGAATTTACTGCTCACGATGAAGAATATAAAGGAGATTATCTACAGAATAAAATGCTTGATTGGTATCTACCCTAGAAGAGATGTAATAGTTCATCCACAGCCTTGCCGCTAGTGGTAATGCTATTCGTCAAACAATAATCTTAAACAATATTCTAATTGCCCTGAATCTCCTATAACCCCAATGGGAAAAAAAATTTCCTAAGAAAAAAATTAACCTTTTTTTGAGTATCGAAAAAATAATCACATATTGAGCGATGTATGACAGATTTCCAGTGTTTTTCAAGAATTACATCCCTGCAACAAGTCAAATTAAAATTCGTTGGGTTTTAATAAGTCAAACTCGATGAGTTTTAATAAATAAAAAACTAAAAATCAAGTAGAATAAAAACTTCATATGCTTCCATGAATTTCAATAATTTTATAGCAACAAGTCTCTCAACTTGTAAACAGATCTGTCGAACATGCGAACAATACAGTCGTCAGGCATGATTTATTCCTTGAGATCTCCTCAAAATTTTATGTATGCCTGCGGCAGCACGGATTTGTAAAATGTCAAGATCTAGGAATAAAGGTGCTATAATTGAATGAAGAGATAAAATTACATTCAAGACAGAAAAAGAATAGATGTGATCAGAGATATGCTGAGGATATTTAACCAGCTTTTTCTTAAAAGATTATGAGGGATAACAAATTTCGCAATTTGAGACCATGGTTAGACGTATTTTCCAGACATGTACAATATGGGCACATACAATATGTATACCTAATAACTGGCTTGGAATGATTAAAAAGCGGTGAATAAGCGGTCATTCTTCGGATTACACCAGGCGACCTGGCAAAATACTGCTGGAACCAGAATTCTTCCTTTTTTCTCGCATGAAACAGCATATGAATATAACCAAACGGTTGAATTAATTTAAATACATTTCGATGGATATTAAATTATGTAAAATTGAAAACGAACCCAGAAGTTGTGACAATAAATAAGCTATTTAACATGGCATAAACTGACGATCAAGGAAAATGAATTTTAAAAAATTCGATAGGACAGCGTAAAACACCTCGTTTCAGGAGAAAACGGAAAATTGCAGCTAAATATTTTAGTTCCATCGATAGTTCCAGTAATAGACAGTAATAGTAATAGGGAACTACTGTCAGAGAGCCATTTCGGCTTTTTTTTCGAGGAAAAACCAGAAACAGCGAAAGTTGGCCTGCAAATATAAATTAATGCAAATTAATGCAATATGAAGAAATATACTCCAGTAAGATCGCAATTTCTATAAATTTCAATTTCTAGAATCACAAGCTCAAGTAGTGCAGTGTCAGTACCCAAGCAAAAGATGAAATGCCTCAATAACTAGGAAGCCTCACTGAAAATGCTCAGCAACTAGGCTCAAAACGAAGTCCTATTCGGCTGTAATTTGCAAATCCCACCACATGGATGCAAATCGTGTCCAGAGAGAGTGGAAAATATTAGGAAGTTAACTTCATCGAACATTTTTACCAAAGGACCGATGTGTCTGCCAAGTGGGCATAGCCTCACATCAATGTGTCCACCTCTCGAATGACACGTTTTAGTAATATCGTCATTTTATCGTTTAAACCCTGCTTTGGACCGTGGCCAGCGAAAGACGGGATAAAAGACTCGCGTGGTGACCGCTTTTTATGCAACCAAAGTCTGATTGGAATATTAGAAGATCCATCATTCGTAAGTCGAAAAGTAAAAAAAATTTCCGTATTTTTTCATTTTTTTCAATAAATATTCATTCCTTTTAGTTTTATAGAGCATTAATTCCTTGTTCACAACAGGTACTGAAACACATTTCGCTAGTTGGTAAGTTCTTTAAAGGATGGTACCAAAAGCGTAGAGGACCAATCAAAACGTGGACTGATACGGCGAAGTGGAACAGACAGCTCAACATATAATTAGAAGATAGAAAAAGAAGTTGCTTCATTCACTTTCAGAAATAGCGCCAAGAAATTTGGTAACGCCCTACCCTAGCGAGCTAGTGGAGCACATATCGCATAAAGCGTAGCCTGCGCAGGTTATGTTCTTCATTATTCACCAGAGGAACTGACACGCAAAAGAAAGTAAGACCAATCAAAATCTGATATGGTTGGAGTTGCTTTGAGTGCATAGGTGTCCCGGTTGTATACGGGCTTAGACGGTGGAAACAACATAGCTTAGTGCCAGTTACTTTTATGGATGGCATCAAATCAGGAGAAAGTTTAGTCGCTAGTGAAGCCAAACTGACAACGCTACGAGCTATTTTTTTATCAGTAATGAGTGGATAAGTTAGAAATTGAAAAAAACAGGTCATGGAATTGGAAATTTTTTTTTCAATTCAGTTGAAAAGGTCTCATCAATAAAGCAATTTATAGAGAATGTCCTGGATCCTGGAACACATAAGATAGGAAAAAAAGAAATAACTAAAGGCATAAATCCGTTCTATATCATCTCAAATATTTTAGAGGGTCAAAAGGTCATTCACACCTGCAGTAATAAAACATACGATGGAATAAGTTCGCGTTTGTACCGAACGCTCGAAAGGTCAAAGGGTCAACCATTTTAATGTTTGGCAGTTCGCATCAGATTCTATTGATTCCAATTTTTAATGCAAATCGTGTTCCAGTCGATGATATGTGATTTCTCGCACAGACCGTATGAAGCCTCCGAACTATTTACGAATACTTTTTTTAGTTAAAATTTTCGGTAATCGTAGAAATTTTTCAGTTTTCTTTAAAATTTTTTATTATTCACTTTCGCAGTTACATGAATTATATTTTTGCATCACTGTACTTTACTTTACTTGTTGTCTCCGTACTGCCTCCATCTTACATCCCCCAGTAAGCAACATCGCGCCCGTCCTACTCCGATGGTACTTCCACCCCTGCTTATGTACGAGTATCTCACAGCGATACTGTGCGGTTGCGAACGAGAGAGAAGTTACACCTTTCTCTGTTTTAGAAGGAATGCGACCCTCGATAATGACGTGAGTTCGATTAGCCACCAATACTATTAGCAAATCAGAAACGTGACTGTCCTTAGGGACTGTCCGCAGAATCGCAACTTGCGATGCAAATCCCCTCGCACCCTCATTTCTACTTATTAACGGCACCACACCTGCTATATCGTCATTCAACCAACATGTTCACCTCCATCATTACAACGAAAATCGTATATCAGATATGCCAACGAGTCGACCGAACTGCAAATTAGCAATTTGCAAAATCGATACATCAGATGAGTTTACTTCGTTGATAAAAAGACGCGCAGCGTTTGTTGTTCGTTCGTTCAACGCAAATCGATAGTACTGCTTGCACATCGCGTGCGTTTGCGTGAACGTTGCACGTGAGTCACGTCCTGCAAATATAATTTGATTTCTTTTAGAAGGGAAGTTTGTGGAGAAGTGGTCTTTTAAATTAAAAAGAAAAACATTAATTATCATTCATTAAGAAAAATTGAACTTTTTCAAAATTTTTGCAAAAAAATCGCTGTGGAACAATGAAATTCACTGAAAAAAAAATTTAGTAGAATTTCGGTCGAAATTAGTTTTTTTATTCACCAAAGTTTTTCCGCAGTTTTAATTAATTAAAAGTGTTTATGTTAAATGATCAAAGACCACTTTTTTACGGTGTAATTTAGTAAAACAGGAAGGGGGGTAGCGGAGGGGGAAGGAAGAGGAAAAACGATTCTGTGCGCATGGTAAATCTTTGGGTGAACTTTAATTATAAGGATATGTTCTGGTTTTGCCAGTGATTTTTTTCCTCGTTATTATATCATTGTTGCTCTCTAATCTGAATGATCCGACCTGGTTGGCCTCTCCGCGCTCCATCTGGGGAACTAATCTCTTTTATTTGCGAATCATTATCAGTATTCATCGTGTTTTACATTACGATTCGCATTTTTTTTCATTTTTCGTCATCATTTTCAAAGCCATGAGTAAAGTCATTTCAAGTAAATTCGTTGGTCTCTTTCACACTATGGAAAGGAGGCTTTGTGTGGGAACTTTTTAGTTACACTCAGAGAAAGGGATTCCGTTCCTCAGGGAATTTTTTCTTCACACCACTGGACAAGTCTTCTACGGGAAATTCTTCATCATATCTATAAAGAATGTGTTGTTCTTGTAAAATTTTACCTCATATTGATGAAAAGGCATAATTTCTTAATTCGTCGCTGATCGAATTGTTTATTTAATGGAAGCGGACATTTCTTTTCGTCTTTTCTCTATTTTTCCGGATGATTTTGTCACATTAACAGTGCATTCTGGCTTCATATTCTTTGTTTTTGTAGGATTTTCCAATTTTCATTTTGTGTATATTAGAATGTTGAAATATAGTGCGTTAAAAATAGTGCGTTAGAAAATTTTGTTGAGAGTGAAACCAAAATCGCTTGATGCCTTTTCTATTAAAATAGCCACAAATTGGGGGAGCTAATAATATTGTCTCATGAATATCCACGGAAATGCCATATATCTTAAAATATTGGGTCCCATATTTCCGGATTTCAGTAATTGGTTTTTTCACATCACATATTGTATATTGAAATTGTTTTTCTTCGCTTATTTTTTTTCTAATAGAAATTAATTTTATTGATGAAATTTTACAATTTTTTTATAGATAATGCAAAAGTTAGATTTTGGAATCGTTTTGTTTTTGTTTTGTCTTTTGCGTCGTTCCATGAGAAAAATGTGTTTCTGGGAAATGACCAGCATGAAAATTTGTGCCTTTCTCGCCTTATCCAGTAGGCATCTTTTCTTTTCTAGTCTATTTTCTTTTTTCAGTCTTTTTTAATAATATTTTTTATTTGTTTATTTTGGTGGAGAAAATAAATTCATATACCTTCATAAAATTCATAAAATCCTTATTTTAGAAAGATTGTAAGAAAAAGAAAGGTGATATTATTTTTATTATTTTATTCCTTTCAGTTTAAAAATATAAATTACAAAAGCAAAATTCTATTGGACTAAATTCTAAAAATTGGACTCTTCGGTCAACTTATCCACATTGTTTGTTTCCTTGCTTATTGTTGAGGAAAAATACGTGAATTATGCGAGAGAAAAAGTCAGTCGGAAGAAATGGCAGTAAGTAAAAGGCAAAAAGAAAAAGAAGAGATCTGTTAATTACAATTGTTAATTTTGTTAATATGGACCAGATAACCGAAAAGAACCCAAAAGAAGAAAATTTCAGTATAGTTTTAAGTGAGCTAATTTTAATTTTTTAATGGTTGAGGCTGAAAATTGCGTGACATTCCAATATAATAAAACCAATAAAATAAATTAAATGCGATGAACATCAAAGGAAATATTTTTGAAGAAATCTGAAATTACTGAAATTAATTTTTAATTATTTAACTAATAATTATCATAATTATCTTCAATCAATTGATAAGCATGCATTCGTCTCACAGATTGTTAGTTATATCAACAATTTTTGCTCATTTGGCAATAGGATGACAGATGGTTCGACAACACGATCCGAAGCCCTTATCAGAAGATGTTGCTCGAGGCGATAACTACCACTGAGCAACTACCACTTCGGATATCGGCACCTTATGGCTTGATTAAACTGATTTGTCAAATCATCATCTGTTTTTGTCCTTTTATCTTTTATCCTTTTGTGTTATTGTTCAACTGCCAATTATATCAAGTAAAAAGGTTTATGCATTTTTTTTACATTAAAGGTTCATTAAAGGTTTATGCATAAATTTCGAGCTTTTTTACTTAAATCATTTGGTCAAATATTGTCAAAATCCAAACCTCATCGATCCGTTCGCCATTGAGTTCTATCCTTTCTTTCTGATTAGTTAACGAATTAACAGATGGTACGCGTTGAATGAATGCCGGCATTCTTTGAAATTCGCGAATCGTTGAATGTTTTTTTTCGTTATTTAATAAATTTTTGTCAATCTTTGAAATACTGCTTGTTTGTAAATGTTTTTCATGATTTGTTGCAATTCGAATTGCTGTCGATATATGTTGTTGTATGGATTCTTTTGTGCGCTTTACCCGTTTACGTTTTCCTTGTAATTTATCTACGAAACCAACCATTGCCAACTGAATTTAGATAAGTACGAGCAATTTGGTTAAAAGGTTAAGTTATTATTTTATGCACTTATATCATCGACACTTATATCAAGCAGAGTTAATAAGTGATAAGCATGGTGAATGGTGAATTGGTGGATATTAGTTGGATGTGAACATTTCTCTAATAAGGTTGGTTAAAAGGATTGTTGAATTTGCTGAGATTTATTAGAATATTCAGCAATTATGATTTTTTTTACTTCCAATAATTTTTTTTTTATTTATCTCATTTCAAGACATATATTTACCTCAACAAGTGATAAAAATATGAATCCAACACAGCCGAACATCCAAATATCAAGTGCCTATAACAAATAGACTTTATGCTGTGAAGAAAGAGAGAAAAAACCTGGCAGGTGATGCCGATGAAATAAGAGGATTGTTGAATAAAATTACCTTAACATATGAAACTCGAGGTAGATTTTTGACGATATTACCGAACTGAAAGGTAAGTGCCATCAATGAACTAACGCCAAGAGTAATTCTTGCCGGTAATGCTTTTGTATCTATCCAGAATGCTATCCATGAGATAAATACGGATAAGTAAGTTGGTAAATAAGCCTACAATGTTTTATTTTTTAAAATAATTATAGTTGTTAATAATTTTATAGGCCGAAAGATGACAACGATTCGGCCAGGCGAAGGAATGCAGCTTTTCATGGTCGATTATTATTATTGATAAAATTTATTGGTTTCTTGAATAAAGCAAAAGAAGAAGGATGGTATATTGTTTTGATTGATGGTTCGGTTCATTTCCCTTGATAAACCATTAAAAGTTAAATCCTATACTCCAGTTATAATTTTGTTTCCAAATGGCTCTCTGGCTAAGTTTCATTCCATTAAACCAGCCAAACCAATTATTAAAAAGGGTAAATTATAATTTAGTAGTACTTGAAGTATATAGTAGCCATAGAGTCGACGAAATAAGAATACAGCCTCTAATTGGTCCCATAGTCCTGCTGTATATAGCAATGTTAAATTTTTGTTAATGAATTCGATTAGCTCAAAGTCGGGTAGTTTTCGACTATTCGAATCAGGTATGGATATTGGTTCCCAATCACGCCATACAATTCGTACTTCTGCGGTATTATATGAATAGCTCTGAAAGTATCTGCTTATTTCTCATGATCATTGGAAATTAATGGATTGAGTAAATTTGGATAAATTATTCTAATAAAGCGTTACTTCGAAAATAAGACTGCATTGTTGTATGTCCATTGGGAAGTAGGTTAAATCAAGATGGCAAGGTCCTTGTAGGCTCACTCTGAAATAATTGGAAATAACATGGATTTTAGGAAAATCGAAAAATTTTAGAAAGATGATTTTCTATGAAAATTATGAAATATGGAGGAAATATTGTTAACCTATAATTAAGCCATATAGTTCCATTTGGAAAAATCAATAAAAGAATATTTTGAGATGGTGAAGTATGAACTTCAACTTTTTTGCTATTCACGAAACAAACGTTTGGTGTCCAAAGTTTTGGCAGTTTATGTGAAGCTAATGAAAGATTTTTTAAACAATAATTTTGGTCCTGAAAAGAAATGAAAGATTGATTAATTTTCTCTTAATTCGATTATTCGCTAGAATTGTCGAGCGATAGTTATTTCTACCATACATCTCGGCCTTGATTTCTAGTCTTTGATAGGAGTAAATGCTAAAATGAAACTCAAATGATGCGGCCAGCACTTTAAGTCCTCAAGTGACTCTATGCCAAAAGGTTCTTGTCTTGATAATCAATAGAGCCAGTCAAAACGGAATCGATAATGTTAGAAGAACTAAAAGAATTATTTGAAGAATTTTTGTTTCGGAGGAACTAATTAATTGCTATTCAAACATTGGATCAAGAATAAAACCTGAAAAGCGAGCCTCCGATCGTGCCAGATTTGGCTAAACCATACATCAGCCTTAAAACTACTCGTTATCTCGCTGATATCGGTGATACTTTGTACAGTTAATTCAACGATTACAATTGTCGTTTCATTGGATGGCAGAATATTATTATCATAATTTGTTTCAGCGAATAGTTTCTTAAATCATTTAATCAAATATATTTACTATATTTGTAGTTTTGAGAAATTTGATAGTTATTAATGAGATAATAAAGAAGTAATCTATATAGCAGAATGTTTATTGCTTAAACTATTAATTCAAAGATGAGCCCCTAAACCAGCAAAATCAAATCTGTGTGACTTGAGGAAAGCTCTGTATTTCAATAAATGATTGTCTGACGACACTATATTTTTCTGGTCTTGATAAAGTGAGTCTTAGAAAAAAAGAACGTAACCTGTATCAAATTACTTCTGAGAGTTTCATTAATTGGTACACAATTCTTTGTTAAGACTTGTTCATTTAATTGCGCCATATTATGCTCATTTATTAAATTCTCGTCTAAAAATTTATTTAGTCAGTTGATGTAAGGACTGCGAAAATTTAAAAAGAAAGTGGAACCATGTTTTTGCGAATTTATTATTTCTGAAAGTTTGTCGGTTTGAGTTTCAGTAAGTTCAGGTAGAAGTAGAATGAGTCGAATAAAATGTGAGACGATCATTGTCGGGAACACTCGTTGACCATATTCGATATCAAGGAGAGAAAATGCTGGTAATTCACGTGAAATTTGACGTGCATGAGAGATCACAGAAGCAGTGTCACTTCTGAAAGGAAATACAATGGACATTATTTGTGAAAATTGCGAGCCGTTTACTTCGACTGAATTCTTATTTTTGACATCGGAAAAAGAGACATATTTTATTTTAACATGCATATTGAATAAAAGTTGGTTATGAAGAATTCACGGAATTATCATGGATTTGCTTTTGCTAAAAATGATTTTAGGAGCAAGGTGGTAGCATTCTTTTCTCACGTCTACATCTACTGATTCACATCTACCGGTTTAACTGCTTCTATTAATTTTCGCTGTCTGCGTTTACTTGGATCACGGCGGGGGAGTAGTGTCACTTCGTTTAGAATTAGGCATCATAGGTTATCTGTCATTAAAAGCAAAGTTTGGGTGGTTTTGGGAACCCATTTGTACCTATTCTCAACTGATTCTATGATGAAAGTTCCTCAGTGCTTTGTTGAAAAGTGTTAAAAGGAATAATTTATCACCTTGTTCAGAAATTTCGGTATATTCTGCAATAATTTTCATGAATAGTGAATTAGGTTCAAAATATTGAGGACCTGGTGGCGATGAAAAAAATTAGGAAAAATTCAGCTGTCTGATCACATTTCACCATTTTTTTCATGACCATCTTTGATCATAATCAATGAAGTATAAAAGCATTGCTCCTGAAATTTTTGGTTTTACGAATATCTATTCAAGAATAGAGGGAAATTTTTTTAAAATATATTCTCGCTCATATCATCGCTTTCTTTTTTCGCAACTCCTAGTCCAAATTCATTTCCCCTTTTCTCATCCCCTTCTATACATGTACATATATTTTATACGATAATAATTGGCTCAGAAAGCGAAATTGCTTTTTTATATAAACCATTTTTTTGATTAAGGATCCTCATAAAATGCGATTAATCTAATTTGTTTCGCGAAACGTATTATAATTCGCAATGAAAATCGTTATCACCATTTCAATGGCAATATGGGTACATTTAATGAATAAAATTTATTAAATTATCAGAATAAATCGGTAAATATTCCAGGATTTTGGTGAATATTTTGATTTAACTTTTTTAAAAGGATTTCAGATAAAAGTGGCAATAATGATTTTTTTAATTTACATGAAATGGTAATAAATTGGCAAACGCCGATGCTAGGTGCCACTTCTGGCAGATATTTTTTAGAAGTCCAGGTGACTGCTACTCACCTGTATTTGTCTGATCTAACAAATTACGTACAGGCGAACATAATGAAGAATGAGCGCTTAAAAAAAAGAGAAAAAAAGTCGTTTATAATGGTTTTCAGCTCAATTCAATGTTCGCATGAAAAAAAATGCTTCATGATGGATAAAATGGAAATGGAAGACGATATGCTTTATATTATGGTTCATTATAGAAAACTGATTCAGTGCAAATGAAAAATTATAGCCCATAATTTAAGGAAATAATTGCCAAAAAATATTTACAGACCAGCGGTGGTTATTTTTTCATGAAACTTGTTGCAATTTTTTTGATGATTGTCACTGTGTTGAGATGTCTTGGATAGACGTGACATGAGGTTGATTCTCTGGACGAGAGTAAACATCATAAAAATTCTAGTACTTTCTACTTTCGGGCCATTTGTACTTTAGCTGCAAGTGGCTCTGTGGTGATAGGTTAGCAAGTGAAGCTAAAAAGTCGAACCAGAAATGGTATGTGTTGTTAGGCAGTTATCTAGGCCACTAAGCCATCAGGTAGAGATTGTATTAGCGTTGGTTCGAGCTGCTCGTCTTATTCATGTAGCCAGCTCAGCCAGCTTAACTAGTGTTGGCAAGAGGTGTTAAAAGCTGAAAAAATGTGTCATAAATTTAGAATAAAGAATTATTTGAAATTTTTTTGAAATTATAAATTGAATTAACGTTAAATGTTGATTAAGAAATCTTTTTAAGAGAAGTAAAATATCAAAATTGTAATTTGGAATTTTGAAAAAAAGGAAATTTTAAATTTCTTGAAAATAATATGCCTTATTCGAATTCAGTTTGCCTCAAAAGGGAAAACATTTTTAGAAAAAAATTTTATAAAAATCATTACGGTTGTCTCTAGGAAGACTAAACTTTTAATCCATCAAAAAAGTGGAGGAGCGCCGAAGGCCAACGTATATTTGTATCTCCAAGTGAATCTGGCAAGTTCCGCGTCATGCTAACTGCCAGTTGAACCAACAAAAAATGGTGAGCGCAAACTTATTAATTTTTTACCCTCAGTGTTCATAAAGAGAATAAGAAATAAAGTAATCTTTTCCGATAGCTTTTAGAAGTTTTTTTATAAAAATGTGGAAAAAACATTTTGCATAAATCGTTTTTTGATAAAACTATTCAAGTGAAATAATTAACTAGAATAATTTTTTCCGTCTGTTAATGAAATGGAAAATCGCAAAAAGTTTTCTTTCTATTTTTGTTAATTGCGACTCAAAGGCACAATGGCCGAGCGACATTCGTGTTAAAAGGCAACGGTTGGATCTTAACGCTAGGTGGAGTAAGTCGGTTATCAAAAAGTCATGAGGTACTGCTGGCGACTTACCTGAATTATCCTCAAGTGATTCCTTTGCAAAAATTTCTAACCGTACTAACAGCAAGTGCAGCGGGCTTAATCCACGGATGATAAGCGCTTATCTTTTATCATAACCGTAATTTTCGTTGATTTTAGTGTTAAGCGTATTGAAAAAGTTTTTCGTTGAAAAATTTTATAGGGAATTTTAGCATAAAAGAATAAACATATCAAAACGAGTAAATTAACTCTTAAAAGTCTTTTTTTCCTTTGAAAACGAATCTATAGTAATTAAAAATAAAATTGGAACGCAAAATCCATTTCAAATTTTTGGGTTTATGGGATTTTTAAGGATTCAATTTTCAGTTTGAAATTTTATATACACATTTTCAAATTTCTTCTTTCAAAAGTCATATGCAAATTGCTTTAATAATAGAATTATACAGAACATATTCATAGTTTAATTATCAAGGTGTTCCCATAGCTTAAATTTTCATTTAAAATTTCTTTTGCTTAAAAAGTTTTAAAAACTATTTTTTTCTAGGTCTTTGGAGGAACAGATATACTCAACAGAAGAGAGATATTCTTCTTCCTAGTTACACTACGAACATTGAATTTTTCGGAATTTTTAGAAATTTCGGAATTCGGAATTTCCATTTTTCAACAAAACGACTTGAAATTTTGGAGATTTTCAAGAAAAAGCATTTTATATAAATTTATTGCAAATTTTGAAAAAGTTTATTTTGGGCAATTCAATTTTAACACTGGCGTTATCACTAATTAATGACATCCGTTTGCCCGAGAGTCGCTTGAGAGTGCTCAACGGTGCTCAGTATTGCCCCGAATTTCATATTTACAGATAATCGTAAACTTAAAAAATTAGAGCTTCGATAGTGATTCGATAGTGACATTTATTTTTCTTATTATAGTGGGGTTAAATTGTCCAAAATCTATTTAATCCAGTAAATTCTCTTTAAAATCAACAATTCTTAAATTATTGAACATGAAATTTGAAGAGAAAATAAAAATAGAAGAAATGCAAAAATGGGAATTTGAGGTTTTATGGCGATTTAGTTTATTAGTATGAAATGAAGTAAGGAAAATCGGTTGAAATACGTTGCTTGATGTGTTGAAGGATTGGAAAGGAGTGGCTTAGCGATAATATGCAATTATGCCTTTTGCCTGTTGTTAATGAAAATTTGAAGCAGTATTCTTCTCTTTTTTGCATCACTCAGTGCTTTTTATTGATAAGAAATAGTTATAACAATAGTATAATTTGAAATTATAATAAACAATAGAAATTATGTAGCAGTAATAACCTCATAATTGCTAAATTAGAACTAATAATAGTAATAATAAGGATAATAATATTAATAATAATTATGATGATAATAACAGTAATCTATTGATTAATGATAGCAGTAGTGATAATAATAGCAAAAAATAGTTATAGCAATAATAATAATAATGATAATGCAATAAGAATCGAATGCTAAATTTTCATTCATTTAATATTCTTTTTTCGCTCATATATTTTCTGTTATTTTTTCTCTATTTTATTTCATTTATTTAATTATTATTTTATTTTTTAATTTAGTGGTACAAAAAAATCATTGAAATCATTTTTTTTGCTGAACTGTGGGATTCTAAAATACAAATTTTTTGAATTTTTGAGCAAAATTGATGATGAAATTATCTTATTTTGAGCAAATAAAATAAATCGCTTATAAATTATCCCTAAATTTATTTATATTTATATTTCGTTCCGAAATGTTAATGGTTATTTCAACATTTCAGGGAAATTTCCAGATATTTCTCAATTTCTTTCATCGGTGACATTATTTTGAGGGAATAGCGGTATAACACGAGAGGAAACGAAGGTAAAAGAGGGTTGTTGAGGTAAATTATTGCAAGTTTTTAGTAAGGAAATAGTACTAAATGGGAGAAAATGCATGAAAAATAAGAGGGGAAAAGGAAAAGGAAAAACTGAGAATTAAGATCTAGGAACTAAGATTTAAAATTGATTTAGAAGCTGCATTAAAATAAGCAATAAAAAATTAAGAATATCTCGTTGGTGCTAACCATATAATCGGAATGTTTTTAAAAGTGCCACATTATTAAAAGGTCATGGGTAAATGGATTCTTGAAGTCCGAAGTCCTATTTGTTAATGCTTAAATTTTTTTATTGTTTATTTTAATGTTGTTTCTAAGTCAACTTTGAATCTTGGGCGGTTTTTGTTTTGCTTCCTTTTTTATGATGTTTCTGAAACATTTGTAGAATTTTTACAAAATAATACTTTTTTTAAAATTTAAAAAAAGCGTATATATACTTTATATATATATATATATAATTTATGCAAAAAAAAGCTATGAAACTAATATAAAAATTAATTTAATTTAAAGTTTTGCCTTTTTAAGATTGTTTTCCTTTTTTGTTTTCTGGTTTTGTTTTGTTTTTGTTTTCTTGTTTTACTCTCCGTTAATTTTTATCTTTGTCTTGAAGAGGAGCAAACCTGTCATGATAACAAAAATTTGAGTGGCTGGTGGGAACCAATCTAAATGATAATGAATGACTCTATGGTGAAAGGATCCGCTCTAAATATCCCCAAGACGGTGGTATACGATAAGTATGCAGCGCGCAGCAAAATGATCCTAAGGCTTGAAAATAAAGGTATGTACTCGAGCCTGGGTGATTGTTCAAATCATACCAAGGAAAACGAGCAGCTGTCCTTCGGATCTCTGTAGTGAGCGGTGAGGTATCGGACGTATCAGCGTAAAAAGCTTATGGGTCAAGCCAAACGATCAATGTGCACACTCTTTCTAAATACCATATGTACGTTGCCTGCTTGTTCATCTTCCATAGCTGGTTTAGAGCAATAAACTTTATTCCATACAGAATTACTGGCTATATCATTGTGGCATTTCAGATAACCAGAGGTGAAATGGTATAACGATTGACATATCTTAAAAGATCAGTCCGTTCTGATTGAATAGAAGAAAAAAAGCGGAAGAACCGTATGGCCTTTGCTCGCCAAGGAAAGTTTTGCAATATTCAAAAAGATCATCAGTATATATATCCCCTATCTTTATGTGCAAATTACCGCGGTAAGAATAAGTTTATAACTTTAGCTACTAATAATTTCTATCTCTATCGAAAAGTTGCATGTTCATAATCGAAGAAGACTGGAATGCGCGCGAAGGTCACGATGCCGCTACGGTGAATTCAATTGGTATTGGAGTTCGGTGCGCCAATGGAGAACGCCTTCACTTCGCTGAACATGAATTTTTTATTACTATTTCATGTTTCTGACATGAAGGCAACTTTGTGGAACTCTTCGGATAACCAAAACTCCAACCACATTCATTATATCTTAACTAGTCGCCGTTGGAAGAAATATTTGATAGTTGTTCCTACCGCTAATACTGGTAACCTTCGTGGTCTGAGCGTGTTATAATTCGAGTCAAGATTCGTATAAAGCTTGCAAGGATATCTTTCAATATCTTTCAACTATCAGACAAAAAGATTCGGAGATAACAAGCACCTAGCATTATTTAAGCACCTCAGTGAAATAGGTATGTGGTATCTCTGGAACTGCATATGAGCAATGGTCTCAACTAAAAGCATGAAAATCAGCGCTAGGATATTCTAGTAGGAATTGCATTAATTGGGTATTGAATGCATTTGTCCAACTTTTCGAAAAGGCTATCAAAGTGTGAATGTCAGCGGATCCTGATTTTCGGATGCTTCGAAAAATTAGAACAATAGCGGAGTAGAAATCGCTATTGGAGCGATAAGGCCTTAAGAATGGAATCAGTGGTTCGATTAGGCGAAGCGAACAGTCAATGAAATGATACGGAATAGTAATGGTGTGTTTGTTAGAACTATAAACTGCGTTGCCTTTAAGATGGAAAGAATTCTAAGCTTAACCGCGATATGCCTCTGTTGTTTTAGACTTAGCTGAATCGCTCGCTTACAACTGCGAACTGCTAAGAGAACAGGAAACAATCTCCGAAAGTTTCCATCTTAACTTAAAGCCAACAAAGCTTCAGGAGAAGATGGTCTCTGGACTGAACTCTTCAAATGTTGTCCATCATCCTTTACAACACACCTTCAATAAAAGTGCTGTCTGATATGGAAGAAAGAAATAATTCCAGATGACTGGAGCAACGCAATCTCTGTTCCCAATTCTCGAGAATGGTGACAGGAAATACTGTGATAATCCCAAATGGCCAATTGAAAAAGATTGCATTCTGGAATAATGATAGCTAGAAATGCATTTTTTTGATTGGCCAAACCTTTATGGAGCCTTCTCGAAATCACCATCAAAGGGAAAATCTAATCTGCGTCTAAATCTTTATCTTCAATTCGCCGCTCTATCTTGTTGAAAATGACATGGCTAATGAGAATGAAGGATATTAAGAAGTTATTTACCACTACTTACTGTCTAAAATAAAATCGAAAATATATTACTGGTTCCTATAGTGGATAAAATCTCACATGCTTGCATCACATCTTCGCTCAAATACCATCTACATTAACAGTACCATCATAGAGCGTCTCCTTCGCGATTAAAGCACGTCCTTCGTCATCTATCACAGCAGTTGACTTGTTATTTTCTAAGTCCTGTGACAGATAGCGTCGAAAACGAGGAGCACCAACCGAGACCTGGATTAATGACTGATGCAATCGAGAAAGATTTTGAATGTATATCAGCGATATATGGACTTAGGCGATAGAAAAAGGGATGGCTTTTATTACTGTCAGCGATGGCATCGGATCGAAGCTCGGAAACCTCTTACGCTTTTGGCCAGGAGAGCCAGCCTCACAAATAATGGTGAGAGCTATTAGAAAAAGAAGAAGCTACTAGTTTTGTCTTTATCTCTAATACATGAGTAAATTTTTGGTTGGATGCATTGATTACTCGAGGACGAGATTTTTTCTAGACAGCTGTTTTGGGATAGAAGTATAAGAAGTATATTTGGACCTCCGTATCATCCATGTAGCTACCGTGTTAAATTTATAATAAGTTGATTTGAAATATTTTATAAAAAAGATTTTATTATACATATGCTAACGAATTAATCTAGATTTCTATTGGGTTATCATGGAAGGCATGGATTCAACCGCATGCTCCAATAAGAGGTATAAATTTCATTAAAAAATCTCTGTCTCTGAGGACCCCAACTTCTCTCGCCAATTTGACCGCACTCACTTACTAAATCCAAAAAAAGGAGTTTTAAACTGATAGAAGAAAGTGAATAGGGCTGTTTCTGCAAACAAAATTTAATGCTTAGTTTATTCGCTGAAAAATTCGGCGAATGTGGATTCGTAATTTTTTGGAAAATTTTTCACTAAGAATCCTTTTTTTAAAAGGTTTTTTAACTTTATTTTATTTTATTTACTGAATTCCTAAAAAATAAAAATTTAAATCGATGAAAACTTCAAACTTACATTTTTATTGAATAATTATATTTTAGAATTCAAGTTTAAATAAAAAAAGATATTATAAATTTTAATTTTAATCAATATTTTAATTGTATTTAAACATTTACTGCTTTGATTTTTTTCGATTTCCTTTAAATAATACAAATTTGAATTTTGCATAATTGTAACATTTTTAAAAATAATGATTGTTGCAAATTTGCCACATCAAGAAACAGTTGCAAGAATTCATCGAAGGATTAGAATTTCTTTTTGGATTCTCGAGACAGTGTCTCTGCATTTACGAAATGCATTTTTCTCTGCATTTTTCTCTTTTACCCAGGAAAGATTTTTCAGGAGATTGTTTAAGATCATTTTCGTTAAATCTGGATGAAATCTGGAACTGCCTATCCGTGAATCCACAAGGTGTAGCATCATATGTACGATCACTATGGCTAAAGCCTTATCGATAACAGCATTATTGTCAGCAATTCCTAAGGAAATAATGTCGCAGCGTAAAAGATATGCGATAGAACCTTACTTCATGAATCGATGAACTAGTGCAAAAATTAAATTTTTTATTATTTGTTAATTTTATAAAAATTACTGTCAAGCTTAGGATTACTTTTCAAAAATTTCACATTTTCTTAACAACCATTAATCGCTGAGAAATTGCTTTTTTATGAATTTTGTTCTTTGCTACTTCACCATCAAATATTATTTTTATCATTATTATCATTCTTTTTTAATTAAATTCGATAAACTGTACGAGATATCTGCTGATTCGAAAGATTTAAGGAAGATTGGTAGGGCTACGAAAAGTAAGAAGCATGGCCGCGATTTGAGCATAGAGAAATTTTTATTGAACGTTTAGGATAGATGTAAGGAGCGGTTGGACTGGATGTGAAAGCAGTTGGGGTGGAATTCGTTTTTTCTTGTTTCTGGTGTTTGCGGAAGGTTAGAGGTCAATTGGAGTGATGAATTGTTAGGCAAAAAAGTGGTTAATTAAATTTTAGTGACTTCAGTCGATTGCAATTCTATTGGCATTAAAAGGAAAATATTTAATTTTACGAAATTTAATTTCACAAAGATTTCTGTTCGTTTGGTAATTTTCCGAAATATGAAAGTAAAAAATCTGAAAAAAGGGAACTACGAATGATTTGTGGAGGAATTCTATTGATTAAAGGGTGATTTTTTTGTTGCAATTTACGGGAGATTGCGCTTTCGAGTCGCGTCGCGTGTATTTTTCTAACCTTTTTGCATTAAAATAGATTTTCTGGAGTTCTCACGTCGCTTTGTTTGTTTTTCTCGTGCATTAAGCGATGGCTTCTGATGTCTTCTGCAGTCTTAAAAAAGTCGCGGATTCACTCTGTGCTGCATGCGGAAGATCTTTGAAAAAGGCATAAAAATTTATTCACAAGTAGCGAAACATTTCGGGTGGAAAGTTATATATGCAAAATATAAACATAGGAAATTTTTTGCGGGTCATTTCAAGAAATTCGTTTTTCGCTTTGCAACGTCTATGGACTACCGCCATGAACATTGCGAATTCAATATTCTACTCACATAAGTGAGAAATTTTAGAGTTTAAACGAAGAAAAGTGCGGGTAAAATTTATTGCAGTTACGTCGCTCTGTCGAAAATTTTTCGTCATTTCGTTGATTTTTTGGTTTATAAAAAAATTAAAAATAAATATTTTATAAATTTAAGGACAATTATGGCAAATGGACAAAAGCAACAATATATGCCGATGCCGTCATATTTTCTTCAACAAGAGGAAACAAGTGATGATGAAATTACACGCAATTCAAATTATTTAATTGATGAAAGTATTGAAGGTGATGATACTGAATTTGATGAACCGTTAATACAATTCAAAAATCGTCAACCTCAACAGCAACAACAACGCGGAATACCACCAAACACATTTTATGCATTTTCATCTTCGCAGCCATCATCTTCTGTAAGTATTTTTATTCAAAAACTTTTGTAAGTATTTTTATTTTAAAAACTTAAGTTATAATTTACAAATAATGCTGAGTGCTGATTATCTGTACTTATCCACCAGATAATTCTCTGACGAAAACATTGTATCCTAATAGCTAATAATGCTATAGAACTTGAAACTTTTACAGACTTATACCTTTGATTGTAAAAAGCAGTAGTAATTAATCCCACATTTTTTGATTTAAATGAAATCTGCTGAGATTTACAATTACTGGAATAAATTTACTATTATTGAAACTTTTGGAAGCCATTTTTTTCAATATTTTATGTTTTCTATATTTTTTTCATGAAATCAATGATGTAATTTCTTTGAAATCTCCTTTTTTGGTTTTTATTTTTGCAAAAAGATTGGTGTCATATGACCTTAGTCTAAAGTAAAGTTATTTGCTTATTAATTTCATCTTTTATCTTCTTTTTTTTCAAATAAAGCTAATTTATTAAATGATTTGTATAGGGAATAAGTCAGGATAACATACGTTTTGCTCCTGTAAAACCAAGTTTGCCACAACAACGATTGTTAAATCAGCGTTCCATTTGTTTCAATCAAGTAAAAGCCGCACCATTGCATGATTTGCGTGGAGATTATCAAACGAGGCACCTTCGTGAAGTACGCTTTTTTTCGTTACAAAAAGTTTGGTTCATAAGTTTAATACTTAAGTTATTATTTTTAATTTCTTTTATTATGTGAATTTATTTTCGTCATTTTTAAAAGTAGTGTTTTTTAGAATGCAATTAAAAGTTTTCAGGCATATCAGCGTCAGTATATCGATAATTCAGCAAATTACAATTTAATGCCATCATCATCGTCTTTTGCTCCTCATCGATTTGTCTCTTCAGTTCCAGTTTCAAGAAGTCATCAGGCACAACGTGTCATTTATGATGATGAAGAGGAACCGTATGATTATGAATTCGAAGATGAAGAAGAAACTTTTGACGAAGAGCAGCCAGAAATATATCAGCATCGTTCACAACAACTTGTTCATCATGTTGCAGCTGAGCAACCAAAAGTGGTCTCAAATGAAAATAATAGGGTAATAAATAGGGAAAATTATATGTTACTGAATTTTCTTCTTTTTCATATGTTCGGCTGTATAAAATTGAAACATGAAGGGATAGTATTAAAGAAAAAAGGGATAGAATAAATCCGTAAAATCTGATCTGATTTTTCGGCTGCATTCATTAATTTAAAAAATAGAAAAGAACAGTCTTTTTCATATTGTATTTACAAATACAACTATTCAGCTAAGAAATATATAATTCTATTTTGAGTAAGATTTAATTAGAATTAGGATAATTAGCATCAATATGCATATTTATCTTCTTCAGCCATATATGCTGTATCGCCATTGTTTTCATGGTTTAGTATTTGAATTTTGAATTTTACTTTTATGTTTAGTGTTAACTGAAGGGAAACATAGTCCAAGTTACTCTTAAATTTATTTTTAAATCTCCTCAGGCTTCATTTGAAATTCCTCACTCTCTTACATTGCAAGGTAATTTGCCTTACAAATAATTTCCGAGTATAAGAGTTAACAATTTCTTGGTCATCATATTATACATGAATAATGGAAAGAATCAACACCATCATCATCATCATTAACATGGTTTAAACAGTAAACATAGAATATCAAAATTTGTCAAAATTTTCAAAATTTTTTTTTCTAACCTTGGAATTAACAAGCAGAAAATTTTACACTAAAAGAAATAAAATGAAAGAAGTGAAATGGAAAGGAAAAGCTTGGCTTCACTGCGCTTTTATGAGATGAGAATTGAATATTTAACGGACTTATTATTTTATCAATAATGAAGATTTTTGAATAATAAACGGGAAATGGTTTAAATGTGATTTCATTGCCGCTTATTTCGATTGACCCGTTTGGTTTTGAGATGTCGAATTTTGCTAGTAAATTTGTATTGTCGAATACTGAGGTTGTGGAAGGATATGCAGAGATCGTAGAATAGGGTTTTTCAGTTTTTTTTGCAAAGTTTTCTCGGTGGGGTGAGCGTATGCGATTTGAATTTAAATAGTTGTTCATTTTCTATTTTGCTATGGGGCACTTTATAACGGAATTTCTTGATTTCCAATTTTTTTAGTACACTATTGTGGGTCATACAACCGAAGGGCAGCCTATATATGCATTGCAGTCGGTGTCACATAGCGAACATCCTCGGCTACAGCCAGTTCAGGTATGGTTTCCTTCGTTTTTCGATTTTAAAATTGCTGGTTTAATACGACTAGTCATTTATTGATGTGTTGTTTATGATAAGTTTACGGATAATTTTCATTGCAATAAATCACTTTTTAAGAAACGAAAATAAACGAAAAATGAATAAGAAATATTTCTTTTCAGTTAATATTCCAAAAGATGTAGCTAAGAACGATTTTCATATGTTATTAAACATTGCTTTTATATTTTTAGGCAGTTCGTCAAAATATACCTGTTGAAGAGAAATATTATAGAATACGAGCACAGCCGGAATTAATATCTGCTAGAAGAATAGCTTCAGAATATTATGTTTGTTCGTCGAACAGAAGTGAAACAGCAGTCTCTGCTTCGAGACTTAATGAAAATGTAAGCATAAAAACTTTCAAAAATTTCTCTCTGATTGCCATTTTGCCAATTTTTCTCAAAATAAATGTGCTTCCGTTTATTTTTTAACTCCATTGATTTTATAGCAGATTAATCTCCGATAACTTAAATCACCATTAGTTTTCTTTTCTTCATTTTCTCAAACAAATTTTCAACTTTTCCATGTGATTAAAATCTTATCTTGTTGTGATACATTTCAATTAATGCTTTAAAATTAGTGTTAATCAATAATTCAACCAATCAGTATTTTTTTTTATTATTCTGATCATTAAAGTTTTTAGATTTTAAACGAAAAACAGTTTGTTTTGCAGGAATTCCCTATCGTACCATCATCTTCAAGAAGCACGCAACAAAACTTGAATTCGTCTACGGTTATACGTAATAAGCGAAAAAGTTCTGATTCAAGTGAAAAAATCAGGTATATAATGATGCCTTCGCTTTCAGAACTTTTATTTACTGCAAATTTAAGGTTTTTTGAAGAATTCAAGCTCGTATTTTTTGAAAGCTGTAAATCAAGTAAAACTTAGAATATTCGATTAAGCTTTTTTTTAAATTAATAAATGGGTCAAGGTGATAAATGTCTAATTTTAGAGGAAAAATGAAATTAATATTATAAACAGAAAAACTATAAAAAATAATTCCTTGATTTTTGGTTTGAAATTTGAAATTTTAGTATTTTAGTATTTTTATCATTTTATCAGCTATTCATTTTTTTTTTATTTGCTGAAAAGTGATTTTGATTTTGAATCTTTCATAATTTTTTTCGCAATTAAACCAGTTTTCATGGTTTCTTGAAGGTTACAAAATTTTCAGTCCATGTTAGGATTGCAATAAATTAATAGAGCCATTGTACAATTATTTTTCTAATCCAGAATTAGAATTCTGAAATTTCCAGTGATTCTGCAGTGGCCGCACAAGCGGGTGCAATCCAGCGATTTAGTACTATCGCAGGTTGGAAGCAAATGTCGACTTGGCTAAAAACAGCTGAAAATAGTAAAGACTGGAATAAGCTAAAATTATTACTCATTCAGTGTGGACAGGTAATAGGATTGCAATAAATTAATAACAATAAATACGATAAAATTTTATAATTTGCCTATGCTTGATAGTATTATGTAAAATGGCTATGTAAATAACCGTTGCTTATTTCCTATTTAGAAAAGCGCTTCTTATTTTTATATAAAAACTTATTTAAATTTTTATATGTCTATATAAATTTTATATAAATTTTTATATTTAAATTTTTCAGGCGGCGTTAACTCTTGAACTTTTACAATCCAATGATACTCCTAGATTTGTGAGGCGGTTGTCAAAAATTTGCCCAGATATTGGTTTGTAATTTTGTTTTCTTTCGTTCTTTTTACTTTTTAATTGTTTAATTGTATAATATTTATAGTGCATGTTAAAGGAACAAATTGCAGCTCTGCTTTTTGTTTTTTGAAATATTTTTACTTTTTCTGCAGTCTTATATAAAAAAATAATTGCAAAAAATTGCCAAAAAAATTTTTCGTTTACTTTAGATGTGCGTCGGATTGCTTTTGATCTTGTCGCGAAATGGAAAAAAATTGTAGCCAGTCAGCCTGTTCCTTCAGAAGAACCAAAGAGGGTAGGTTCGCTGAAACGAAAAACACCTCATCCTTCAACTAATAGCTCAAAGAAAATTATTAGAAAAAATATTCTTGAAAAAAATGAACAGACGATTTCAATGGCGATATCGTCTGGGAATTCAGTTACAGTGAATCGTGCATCAGAAAAAAATCGAAAAGAAGAGACTGAACGGAAAACTTCGAACGATGATATCGAGGAAAGCCTCCAGAAAAATATGAAAGAAAAAGATGAAAAATCTGAGAAAGAGCAAATGATTGCTACTGGAAAAAGTGAAAAGCTAGAAAAAAATAATAAAGTTACTAGCAATAAAATGAATGAATTCAATATGTTTGAAAAACTTGGTGAAGAAAGGAAGGAAAAGAAAAAACGACCAAAAACGGCAAAAACGTATACTTCGAAATTTCGCTCAACAGGTATACTTGTTTTATTAGATGAAAGCATCTTTATTCATGCATCTTTTCCTTATTTGGAAATGATAATAAATTTACCTCTCATTCTTATAAATGTACGATGGCGAATGAACTTAGTTACCGTAGTCTTCAATTCGTCTAGATTATTTTTATTTTTATATTTGTCTTATTTCTTATAATAATACTGAGTAGAATTCAATTACGATGATTTCAGGTGGTGTTGAATATGCTGAACATTGTCTGATGTTTATGCTCATGTTAAATATTTTGTTTGTCCATAAATATTATGTTGCTGAAAGTTTTATATCAAGAGATTTACAGAATAATTATCAAGCATTTTTCTCTATGGATGCTCTTTAAATTATTATGTACAAAAAGTAAAAAATTTTCGAGAAAAAAAGTTAAACAAATAAAAAATGACCGGAAATCGGCCTTTTAAAAAAAAAGTTTACCTGAGATTGATTGAACAAGAGAAAAATTATGCGCATGATTTTTGGAATTCGGTTATTTAAGTTTTTATGATGATAAAATGATGTAATTTCAAATATTCGCTCTCAATATTTAGTTCAATGGTTCCACGTGCTGAACAAAGAATAAATTGGTTACTAATTAATTTATTGACGGTATTGGGGATATATCATAGGGAACAATAACATTTCATATGGTTTTGCTATATGGTGGTATTCTAATAAAGATATGATTTGTTACTGCTGGGGAGTGTATTTGTTGGTCGAGTGTGGTTAAAATTGTTTGAAGGATATGTTTGATGAATTTAATTTGGCTTAAGTAAAATTAAAATTAAAATTAAAAGAAGTCAGGTGTTGAAATTCTAAAAGGCTTAAGAAGTACAGTAGGTAAGCGTGTATATATATATATATATATATATATGAATATATAATATTAATGGACAGGCAAAGAACATGAGCATGCTCAGCAATTTTTATACGTTGGACTATTTAAGAAATGTTATTACATGTTATTTTCATTGAATGATTTTTTTATAAAGGATATTTTGAGGGCTGGAAGGAGATGATGATAGTACGTTAGCGAAGAAAGAAAATGAGACAGGAACAGAGAAAAAACCTAACATTCCAAATAAAGGAGCTTTGGATACATTAAAGCGGACGAGTTAGTTTTTTATCTATCTTTTTGTATATAATTGTAAAATATATGTGAATTTTATATTAAATACATTAATTTTTTAAAAACCACAACTTTTAATTGAATCAATTTATTTTAAATAAAATTAAAATAAGGTTGGTTGATTGATATGCATAATTAAGTTTTTATATTAAAATGGTTGTTTAATTTATTTAATTTATTCCATCAATAGCTCCGCAAAAAACGAATTTGTTATCTACAACTTCACCAAAAATATCTTCGGTCGCTCCAGCCACGGTTTCGAGTTCTAGTCAAGATAAGAAACCAGCTACAACCCCTGCACCAAGTTTGTCCTTTTCTATTATTTCATTTTTTCTGCAATTAAAGTAATCATGATTAGGGATAAATTTTTTGCAGGAGTTAGAATGAGTAATACATTTATGGATGCATTAATGGACCCAGTAAATAAGAAACCAGCAGTTAAGTTGATGAAGAAAAAACCTGCCGTTGTGAAACCAGCATCATCAGTTATGCCGAGTGTTATGGTGCTTTTTTTTATTTAAGCAAGATTATTTGCTAATTTTAAGTAAAATTAATTCAAAATGACACGAATTTTAGGAGGGGCTTTACAGCGACACTTCGAAATCATTGAATAAAGAGAAAGAAAAAGCGGACCAAACTTATAGCTTGTCTAAAAAAATCGAGGCAGAGGAAACGGATATCGCATCAAACCGAAAGATTCGATTTGCTGATGAATTCGGCCAGGAACTTGTACAGATTCGCTTATTTGAAGTTGAAGAGGGTGAAAGATGTATGTTTTTTTCCAGTTCAAAATTCATTATCAAGCGTGAGAATATTATTTAAAGCTTCATTTTTTCAGGTTTTCTTTTTCTTCGTGAAAGTAGAATCTTTTTCACTATTTTCATATCTTGTTACCTTTTGAGATTGATATTCCTTTATAAAATTTATATTCATAAAAATAGAAATTTGGGATGTGAAAAATATAATTCCTTTTTTATTTTATTCGCAAAATAAATAAATAATGCAGCTTTTTTTAAATTGGTTTTTGAAGATAATATTTAGGTTTAGGTTCGTTCATTTTTTAGTAAATGTCAGCAAACTGTCTTCCGAAGATATGAAACATTTGGAGATGCAGCGTGAGCGGTCGTTTATGCGAGAATTTGGCATAATGTCTGATTCCGGACGAGCAAAGAATGAAGGCATCACTTATATTCCGGTACGAATCTTATTTTGTTTCATTCTTTTTTCAAGATTTATTTTTCATTCCGTAGAATATAATATTTGCTGGTGAAAATCGAATAAGTTACTTGTTCGTTTTTTTGGTTAGGAACTAGACAGTTGAGTGGGTCTTTCTTTCCTGTAGTTATGATTTGGACTGTGTCTTCGCTAAAAATGAACCTGTCATTAGTAAACAACTATGAATAAATACCTGATAAAGTGAATAAATACCATAAATACCTGTTCCCTCTCGCGAAAATTTCTAATCGTACTAGCCAGTGTATCGAGCCTAGCTAAAAATTATTAGCGCTAATCGTTCATTTTATTTAATTCCCTTTTATTTGATCCTCATCTTTATTTAAATCCGAGATGGATATCAACACATCATAAATCTTTATCGAGCTTCGGAAGCACTCGGCAATGTTGAGCAAACTCACTTTGTTTGAGGTGATGACGTAGACTGTCGAAAAAACCGATTTCGCAGGAATCTCATCATCAGTCGAATTCAATAGTTCACAGTTAAAGATGTTTGTTGTTGCTGAAGTAAAGATTGGTTATCTCAGACAGACTTCAAAGAAAGTTTCTCAACCATATAAACGATTTATGTTTATGTGAGAGTCGTAGTCTTGTGCACCGAGAATCGAAGCTTGAGCTCGAATTCGCCGACGTATTCGACGTATCCGACTACAGTCTGGGCAAGATACATTCCGATAATTAATTAATTGAGCTTACTCAATAATGCCGAGTCGGAAACTGTTGATAAAGTGAAAAAAATATGCCATATTTGGGAATAAAATCGTTTGTATTTTCCCTTAATTTTCTGAGTTCACTTGAGTATTGAGCATTGAATATTATTCGAATATTTATGTTTAATTTATTTTTTGTATGGTTAATTTGTTAATTTCCTTGTCATTCATAGGATATCAAATGGTTTTGTGCTTTTAAAACAGATTTTCTTGGATGTAGAGTTCATTAATCTTTATGATTCGTGAATGTGGAACTCCAAGAAAGATTATTAATTTGATTGAGGTTATCAATATGGTAAAGTGCATTTACTTACTATGATTCAAACTCATTCACATTTCTAGATTTTTTCCTATAGGACTGAAAATTTTTTTTCATTATTTTTCTACAAAATCAGAATATTTCTATTCAGTTGTATGCAGTAATACGGTAATTAGACATTTTTGAAATTCCTTGAAAAGTTTGTTACAAAATTTAAGAATTTTCTTAAATTTTTTTCAATTTTCCTTAATTTATAGAAAAATTTTTTAGTGGAAGTTGAAAGAATTGGATAATGCATGTTGTCTCATTGAAAGAGGCTCGCAAAGTGAAGCGAAATTGATTGAAGATGAGCGTCAAAAAACAGTGATGAGGCCATTCTATGGTCCTTCGATGTAAGTTTGTCGTTATTATTTATCAAAAAATAGGAACCTTAGTAGAAATCACCAGAAATTTTCGGAAAAGGATATTTTGGAAAACTTATGCAAATCTTTGATATTAACAAACACAAATCCATCATCCATCCCCATGCATCTAATCCTTCGACATCGTATTCTTATATTTTTCTACATTGGATAAATCTATCTTATCAAATAAATTCGGCTATTAACTGTTATTTATTTTGTGCTTTTGAAATTTCAATGAATTTTGAAAGATGGATTTTTTATTGATTTGAAATTGTTTAAATTGCTTATTTTTTTAGGGTAGCTGAAATGGTCGATGCTGACGAAGAAATCGAAGTGATCCCACATTCCATTGTTATAATTCCTCTTGAAATGCTTGAAGATGAAATCCAAGTAAGGCATTTTTCCTGCATTCGCACCTTTTTCATATTTGAGTTTCTTTTAATAACCATTCCTCCTTAAATTTTTCCGCATGAATTTCCTGGTTTTTTTTTTTTAAATTTCTGCTTATATCTTCATCTTCAGACTTCCGATTCATCTATCCACAGTATGCAACAGGAACCTGTTAAAGAAACAGTTATTCCAGGACCCATTGCTGACCAACTTAAATCCATCGATGTTCAGGTAAAATATTTTTGATAAATATTAATGATCAATCCAGCTTGAAAATTTTGAATTATTATTATTTATTGGTTAAACTACGTATTTTTGTTTTTTATTTTCTTGGCCCACGTATTATTTTCTTTTTTTTCCATGAATATTATGAGATTTTTGAAAAAAATTTATTAAAAATCAATTTTTTAAAATTATCATGTAACAAACTTTCTGATAATAGTATTTTAGCATCTTGAATCTTCAGAAACTGATGATGCAACTTAAAAAGACTGGGATTGTTTCATCTGGATCGGATTTGGCTAATATTCTGAATAAAGTTTCCTCAAGTGGTGTATCACTGACGGCATCAACCACTACTGCATCAATTCCGAACATATCTGCTGCTGTAAACACAACAATCGGAACACATAGTTATGCACAAGTGGATCCGATTATGGCTTCTGCCTGTGCACAAAGTCATACTGGATTAGCGCATGGGTGAATTTATTTCGACTTTTGTCATAATTTTTATCATCTCTTTTATTGGGTTTTATTTAAGTTATGCAATCTCTGTTGGTCAGTTTTTGTTACCAACGGCTCAACCACAGTCACAATCGTCACACCAGCCGTTATTGAATGGTCCAGTGCCGGCAGGTTTTATTCCTACTGTTGGCGTTGATCCCGCACCTCAAAACATTCCAAGTTCATCTGATTCTTATTATGGTGCAGGCTATATTCGATTTTGTAAGATTTAAGATTTGAAACTCACGCTTTCGTTATATTAATGATGAATTCTTTTATGAATTCAAATTTTAGGGAACTAACAATATCTAATTCAAGCTTTTTTAAAAATTTTAAATTTTAAATCTAATTTAATTAAAAATCTTTTTTCGGTAATTTAGCATAATTTTACGTTGCTAATTGATTTTTCTTAAATTTTCGCTTTCATTTTCTAGCAGATTGATGTGTTTTCTCAGTTTTCATATCTTTAATTTTTAGCTTCCAAGCCATGCACATTTTATCAAGCCGGTTCATGCAATTATGGATCACGTTGTCGATTCTCTCATGGTGATGAACCAACTGCTGCTACACATGGTGGGGCTTTTGGTCGATTTGGTTGTTATGATGATCGAGGCAGAGGTCAAGGTCGTGGTGGTCCTGCAATGCGAGGCATTCGAGGAAGTTACAGCAGAGACAGCTGTGACACTGAATATAGGTAAATTTTATTGCTTTTCACAACTGCTTTTCAGAATGAATTGATGTCTTGGGATCTCTACAACCATTGTCATAACATTTCAGACGCGGACGTGGATACCGCCGTGAATATTATGAGCGCGATCAGGGCAGAAATGATCGTGATCGTCGAGGTTATGATCGATATGGAAGAAGGCGTAATCGGAGCCGTTCGCAAAGCAGAAGTAAATCAAGGTATTTCCAATAAAATTTTCAAATTTTCGTGTCGCTCGTCAGTCAAAATTATATTTTTTTATTTAGATCCAGGAGCCCATCACGCAAACCCCGTTCTCCGGATAAGCGCATTACGCGTGATCGGGATGAGCGTACTGAAAAGCGCTTTTCGCGCGAAGAGCGAGAGAAAAATCAAAAATCTGCAATGCAAGATGATACAGTCTTAAAAAATTCAGATTCAAAGATGTCTTTAGAGCCTGAAGAGCCTAGTGGGACTGTGCCAAAATCAATATCGCCGGCAACAGAAAATATTCCATCGGAAATCCATTTTCCTGCAAATCCTGCAGCGGTCGATTAATTAGGTTTGGATTATTTGGCTCCGCTTTTTGAATTTGTTATACTATTTCGTTTTTGTACATAGATGTAAAAATTTTTTTTCCCTGATAGTCAACGAAATAATTATTTATGGAAGTCAGAAGTAAGAAAAATACTTAAATTTCTCTTTTTTATGAAAATTTTATTTTTAAAACATTTTTTTTCAAATTTTGATAATACAGTCAATATTACAAGTTCTTTCGGCCTATGGGCGGTTGATATTCCTAGTTTTTTGGCATATTTTGTTCCAGATTTTAACTCTTTTTTCTTTCTGTATTTTTTTGTTGTAATAATATTTTATAGAAAAGTGATATGAACATATCTTCATTTATATTTATTTTTCAAATGTAATTAAAAATTGTAACATTCAAAACCATTTATTTTTATATTATTTTTTGCTAATTATTGATCTGCCTTAACGTATTTTAAATTCTTTAAATAAACTGTGGAATTTCTTTCATTATTCGCCACATAATAAAAAAAATTTCCTTTATGAGTTTTCATATAATCAAAAATTTCCTAATTTTTTTTGATTATGCGAAAAATTTGATTGACTGTCAGCTGAATTGACAATTAACCGTTGACATTTCGAAACATCTGGCTTTTTGTAGGTTTGATGATACTTTTACAAACAAACTACAAATTAAGGACAAACGAAAATGTCACCAAACGGTTCATAAAATTTGGGAAGGAAACCGAAAAAAGTGATAAAAAAATTCTCATATTTTTTATACCGTATGGTTTAAGGTTTTGAAAAATTTTCAGGAGCAAAAGTTTTCTTTTTATATTCTTAATAATTTTAAATGATTAGATGGAAGAATTTTCGATGATTACAGATTTAACGATTAAAACATTCATTATGAAATGAATATAAAAAATTCTTATAACAGACAAGAACATAAAAGTCAGAAACTGATAAAAAAACTGAAAAGGCATTTAATGCAAATAAAAATAAAATAATAAAAGGTAAAGAAAAATAAAAACCCAAGAAATCTAAAGAGCAGAGATTCTTCATTCCCACATCCATTTAATAAAATCGCTGTAATCAATCATTTAAGATGATAAGATCCTATAAATATATTTAAAACTCTTCTTTTTATGAATAAATTCATGAATTTTATCATAAATTTATCATAAATTTTATCATAAATGTTGCAAAAATTTTTTTCTCGCCTTAATAAATCCATTAATTAACAAAATTATGCAGAAAAATACAAAAAACATTTTTAATAAAGAAAAAGATAATGAAATGGGAAAAGAAAAAATAAATTATATATTTCAAAATTTTCAAAGTAATAAATTTTACCTGGCCATTTGGCAAAGTAATTAGCTGTAAGGAGCTGCAAAAGTTCAATATAATATTTTTCCACGACATGCGATAATTCTGATCGCTCAAAGGATCAACTGGGCAACCATAAATAGTGCCTATCAGTTGAGGAAGAGATGACAGCTGAAGAAATTTTCATCAATTATTTCTATTCTTTCATATTCTTTTGTATCTTATCACACTATCAAATGAAAAAGTCTCAAAAACATCAATAAAAAATCAATAAATCAATCAAAGAATAAAACAAGAGTCAAATTTACTGCATAAACGGGAAATGAAAATAGATTAAAATGAAAAAAATAAAAAAAAATTTACTAATAATGGTTGTGGAGATCGCCTTTTTGCGACCATTTCAATAGTCAAAGCTAGGTTTACTATTTCCTTATTTTCCGATGAAGTGTTGCTGATCTAAAATATTTTAAAATGAATCAACGTGGAAAAAAAATTTGATTTTAAAGATTTTAAAAAATCAGATCATTAGAAACATAGATTATGAAAAAAAACAAAAATTAATTTATGAATATTTGTGCTAAAAAATAAAAAATTTCAAAAATGGTGCAGCATTAAATATTTCGAAAAAAAATATCGGAAATTTAAGAGATAGAAAATAGAAATAGAAAATTTTTTTTGAAATAAGAGAAACAAAAAACTGCTTCATAAATTATAAATAAAAATATATATAAAAAATCAGATTGAAAAATCTGTATTTATAAGTATTAAATTTTAGACAAAGCAACTAAACTTTAGATTGTACAACAAAAAAAATAAAAATAAAATGAAAAAAAAACGACCTCATGATTAATAGATTTTGACAAAATTCCATATTCGTCTAAAATTTGTTCTAACCAATCAGAATCAGTTTGTGTGTAAGCATCAACCTGAATATTAACATAGAGAATAATTGAATCGAAAATATAATTAATTTAAATCAACAAAAAAAAAAGAACCATAAGAAAAGAACCGACTTTACGCAGAAATTTTTGACTATCTTCTGATCGTATATTTAATGTTTTATAACGAACAGCGTCCACTGCTCTAATGGAACCAGTACTAAAAGAAATTCAGTTTAATTTATTGAAAGATAAAATTAAATAAAATTGCAATGAGAAAAATCATAAAGAACTATAGTAGTGAACTTATGGATGACTCGACTATCATTTAGAAAATTGGAATAATGGAAGAAAAAAGATATGCTATATCAGTAAATATTATCCATTTATTCCCTGTATAGCGCCTTAAATCTATATTGATAAATTTCTTATAAATGTAGATAAGAAAATTAATTTCAAACTGTTTATGTGAAATCGATTGTGGAGCTTGAGAAGCATAACGATCACGGCAGTTATTTGGAAACTGATCAAACATTACGATGCCATCTAATTTTTCCTCAAAACAAAAATAAATGGATCAGAAATAAAATTATGGAAACAAATTAATTCAAATAAAATCGAATATTCTTTAGTATTATGAGATTATATAACTTGGAAACATGAGGACTATTATAATATATTTATATGCAGAAATAGTAAGATTCATAAACATTAAAATTATGGAATATGCAAAAAAATTCTGCAATTAAAAACGGAATGGCAAGTTGGTAAGTTGCTTTGGCTAATCAATATAAGTTCGATCTCCACCTACTGAAGATTGAAGTTAAGGTGCTGAGGACTGCATTTCTTCTTGATCTAAAGGATATTCAGGTGAGATTCCTCCATATTATTTTAACACCCAGAAAATCAGTGGTTATCGCTCATCTGGTTAAATCAGCTCTTTTCGTCGTTGGCAATACGATTAGAAATTTTCGCAAGAAGTTAGATGGGTCACCAGCTCCACTTGGATTTTTTTAATTCTTTATCGAGAGCAGAAACACGAGATTTTTCTTTTTTTTCTTAATTCTTACCTCTTAACACGAAAATCTAAACCAGTATCTCACGATTTCTAAGATTAATCAGTCAACCAAACCAAAAGTGAAACGAATTTTTTTAGAAGAGGAGAAAATACTATGCGTTTAATTCAATGCAAAAAATAAAACGATTAAAAAATATCATTACCTGAGCAAATGGTTGTTCATCATCTTCTTCATCCAGGTCAATAAAATCTCGATCATATCGCGTATCATTAAAAATTTAATTGTTAAAATTTAATTATTTTTTTCAAGATCTGAATATAATTTAATGAAGGAATCAATAGGTATTATATTTATAAAAGTGCAGCCACTTGAAATATTATGCAGAAATCAACCAAGAAAAAAAATACATGGCACATGGCATTTTAATAAATTTTAATTTTTGCATAAATTGTATGAAAGCAAATCTAATTTTATAAATTATTTGGGTATTATATTATTTGGGTATTGGATATTTGGGTATAAAATACTACCGCAATTTTTTAGCCTTCACCTCTATTAAAAATTTTACCATGGTCACGTTTGACTCTATATCAACTGAAGTAACTCCACTTTGTTTCAACATATGTTCGTTATCATAAAGATTTCTTCGTTCTATTTGTTTCTCAAAGCCAACTGATTTTCTCAGTGATCGTGCAGTAATGGATTTCAGTTTTGAGATCTAAAATTTCACCATTATATAAATAAAATTTTGTTTCAAAATTTATTGTGCTATCATTTCGATTCCAAAATTAAAAAAAAAAAACAAGCTTATAATTTATTTACAATTTGTCTATAATTATGACTACAAATATAATTAAAAATGAAATAAAGAAATTATGAAAAAAAAAATGAAAAATTGGATTAAAAACAGGAAGATTAATGTAGAAAGTATGGAAGAATAATAATTTGCACGGTTCAAATGTTGCAAAAGAGTAACGCGATAGGCTTAATGTGGATATAAACTGTATAAATTGTCGGTTTCAGTCTTTTCATCGCACCTTTTTTTAATGCCGTTGAACAAAATTAATCACGAGGATTAACTCATATTTTCTATATGATAATTTATTCACATTAATCATTCATTCTTTTCATCCATTTTATTTACTTTCTTATTCGTGTTGATTTTAAAAAAAATGTTTCAATTACATTTCGGTTACATAATTGAGTAACTATTATTATAAGAATTAGAACATTAACTTTTTCAAGATTTCCAACAAGTACATTATTTCTTTCCATAGTTGTCTCAAATTCTAATTTTCTAATAAAATTTTCGCATTTTCTAATAAAATAGCAATCATTTTCTCAAAAAATAGAGATGAAAATATTATTAAATGGTTTATTGTATTGTAATATTTTGTTTAAAACAGAAAAGGTACAAAAATAAAAAATGTGATAATTAATAACGAACGAAAGACTCTGGTGTATAACTCAAAATATCAACTACATGGATAACAATTAAACTGAATAATAAACAAAAACTGTGGGTATTCTCATTAGAGAGAAGAAAAAAAAGTGCCCACAAAGCAAGTGTTTCTTCTTAGAAAGACCTATATGACGACAATAAAACCCATATGAAATTGCTACGCATATTGCGGACAAAAGCACTTCGACAGCTGGATAATGATGCCATTTACCATTTATGATCCAAGTTATTAATGCTATCGATCAAAAATCTAATCTCATTAGAGTAGCCACTACTACCAGACAAAGAGCAAAAACTTAAAAAATTCTATAGAATTTTAATAGAATTCTATAGAATTTGCAAGGAATGTCGACAACTGCATCAAGCTTTAGATCTGATGCGATAAATAATGAAACTGAAATTTTTGTAGCGCAAAAGTAGCGCTGCTGAACTGTAGTTTCTGGCTTTTGTTTTTTGCACTAAATGCTCCTAAATTTTCATTATATTCAGGATAAGAATATTCAAGACAATGATATTTGAGAAGTTGCCAGAGAAGCGATAAAAAACTGCTTAGGTAATTTTACTTGCGCATTTAGAAAAACTGTATGAACAATCTGTAAGAGGACAATATGGAAGTTGAAGAAAGATGTTGAATACTCTGTAAAGTGCAATTACTGAAATATGGCGATATATTTTGCGCACTATTTTTTTTATAATTTTAAATTTCCCTTTTTTGGATAAATTTTTCATTTCTCATAGAATATTTTTACATTCTTTTCGATTTTTTATCTTCTCTGTCGTTTATATTATATTCATTTTCATTTTCATTCCCCTTCATTCATATTCACTTTTATTCCCTTTTTTCTCTATGAGCTTTTTTAAGCTTTTCAATGCTCTTATGTACTTCTTCATTATAAAATTTTGGAGCACTGCCAAAATCATTCATTCAGAATGAAACGAAAAAGAAAAGCGACAGAATTGTATAGAATATATAATATTAAAAGAGAACCTTTTCACTATCTAAGTTTGGCGATATTATATATTTTTTCCTACGATTGCGTATTGTAGTATTTCTTTCATCACTATCTTCAGACTCATTATCATCCGTATATTTACCTTTATCATCCGCTTTCGTCAGTTTCTAAAATTGAAATTTAAATGACGCTATAAAAATTCATTATAAAGATTTCCCAAAAACAACAATGATAATATAAAATTACTCGATACTTTAGAAGAAAATACCTACTATTTATCGCAGAAAATGAAAAAATTCAAAAGATTACGAACTCTTCAAGAATTTATACTTTCAAAAATAATTGTTTTGAACCGCAGTTTTCTCAAATAAACAATTTTCGATCGAAAAGATTCCAGTTCAGAAGCATTTTTGCACATATCGCGTCTGAGCCAAAATTTTGATTAAGTTTTTTCCCTTTACTAATTAAAACTGTGAGAAAATTAAGTTTAAAAAGAATTACACCATCGATTTCACGTTCCACTATAATATTTTTTGCGAAAGATTGAGATTCGACAGATCTATCTGTCACGCATTCCTCACCGATATATGCAGGCGATTCTTCGATTGTTCTAAATCTCGCATCTTTCAACAATATTTCTTGTTCCACTTCGTTCTCCTCAATAAGTAAAAAAGAAGCGCAAAAAATTTTTAAAAACGATAATAAATCAGAATCACTTTTCTATTTTAAATAACATTATGATAATAACAAAAATAATGATAGCAACCATCAGAAATTGCCAACTGATTAACTTAACTCCCAAAAGTTCTATATCCCTATTTTTTCAAGAATAATAACATAGCCAGTGAAATTTTTCATACTTCAACATGTTTAGTAGAAATCGCCTCTTTTGTGCTGCAGAAATTAGGCCGAACTGTAAATTTTTATAAATTATTAAGTATTAAATGTTCGAACAAAAAAAAAAGGAGAAAAGTTTTAAATGGATCTTACCAGTCGTTTTATTAAATTTTGTTTCATCAATAAGTGGATATGAAGAGACTTCAGTGACATTGGAAATCAATGCTCTATCTTCATCCGTAATTTCTTCAGGCACTAAAAAAATTATCAGAAAAATTTTCTACTGTGCCTTATTCCATATTTTTATCAATTTCAAGTAATTTTATGCTTAAAAATTTTTTTTTAAAAAATTCTTAAAAACAAACTTTTTACATCCTTGCTTTTTAGCATAATAAATATTGGATTTCTACACTTTATGATAACTTCATGGAAAAATGCTCGTTCAAAATTTTTCACTGCTGACTTGTTTTGGAAAAGCTTTGTTTGTTCCTGGAAAAATGAAAATTAAGACTTTTTTGCGACGAAAATATTCAAGATAATTAGAAAAATGATTACCTCATTATTGAGGGAAACATTATATTTCTGTAGATATAAATCTTGCACTTGTTGGAAGGACACTGGCGTCTCATATGCTTGTAGTTCTAAAAGTATACCAAGTATTCGTTTTTTTCCCTGAAGAAAAAGATGCTTCCTTTTGAATTATCCTTTTGAATTAAAAAAAAAAAACAAAATATTGCCTTTCACTTTTTTTAAAATTTTTGAAAAAGGAACAATTTTCCATTTTTTTCCACATGATATATGTTTAAGAATGAAACATTCTTAACAAAATGAATGAGAATACTTGTACTTATTACTCAGTCTAACCTCAATAAAAGCTTCCGTGTTTTCCGGTTTTTTTAAAGCAATTAATCGTTGCTGTTTTCGTCGTTTTTCTCTGAAAATCAAAGATAATAAATCAGGATAATATGAAAATATGAAAATGACTTTTTATCGCATATTTTCAATGAACTTAATATTGACTCATTATTAGTAAATAAATAAATAACTGCTTAATTTAATCTTAAAATTTTTCAGTAATTCATTAAGACCCCTTCACAAGATTTTAATGTTGAACATTAAAATATTGCTGTAAGAAAATAATTCTCAGTTAGCTTCTTAAATCTGGAAAAAAATTATTTCCAGAGAAAGTTCCAAAGAAATTCAAAAAATATCAAAAAAATGCAAAAAAAATAATTAAGTGACCGTTGTTCAGCTGTTAACTTTTCGTCGTTGATTCTTCTTAATATATGCTCATTCTGAGGAAAACTTTTAGCAGAATAAACGATACCACCTTTATCAGTAAACCCAGATATTTCAATATATTCTTTTACTTCGTTACATTCCAGAAATTTCTCGAAAGTTGGGAAATCATATTTGCGAACCAAAAGATCTGGATGAATAGACCAATTTATTCTAAATAAAATAATAAATCGAATTGATCGGAAATAAAAATATAAAAATGAGCCAAACCTAACGAAATATAGATTTAAACTTCTTTCACTGGTTAAAACGAAATGAAATAAAAAAATTACAGAACTATAATCTAATGGCACAAGATATTGGTAATATTTATTTTATTTATTTTCTCTTCGATTCAGCGGTACAAAAAAATTGATGAAATTTATTAACAGATCAAAAAATTTCACATATAAATTTGCTCTAGACTTACGCGAAGTGGGCTCTGAGTCTTTCAATCGAAGAGCCATCAGGTTCGCTAGATAACGATGAGTTTACCATTAAAGCCAGTTCTTTCAAAACTTCATGTCTTTTTCGTTCATCGTTCTCATCTGGTGAAATTATATAATCATTTAAAAAACCCATATTCGATAGAAATTCACTGAAAGATTTTTCTTCTTCATCATCAGTTGATAGCATTATTTGTTCCTTGCAGTCACTATCGATTGACATCATATTTATATAATCAACATCCATCATGGCTGGTTCGAAACACTGATCTTCCTCATCATCTGATCCTGCAGATTTATAAATAAATCCATTTAATATACCCAGCATTTTCCAGAAATCAATAGTTCTAACAGCTTTAATTCTTATGAAAAAAATGAAATTCGAAGATAAAAATTAAATAAATCAAATAGGTTCTTATCACCATAAATTTCAAAATAACGAGAAATAAATTCTTATCACCATAAATTTCAAAATCAAAATAACGAGATATCTCAAATGAAAATGAGATACTTTCATATGAGATACTTTGGGTTTCTCGAATATATGCCAATATTTAAAAGCAAGAAATTCGACGATTCACTGACTACCACTCGTGCTTGGGGCGTGGGCTTCCATTTAACATAGATGGTCACTTTTCGTGGATATGGTAAAAAAGAACCTTTATTCGTGATCTTCCTCGACATTTCATTGCATAAACCCGTTTAAATGCCAAGGATTTTTTTAAACAGTCCTCATCATTACCGCATCTATGTTGCCGTGATCCGTTCGATCTTACTATATGGTTCTGAGATATGGCCAATGAGAGTGGAGGATATTAAGAAATTATGCCTTTGACCAGTCTTGTCTAAGGTATATTTTACGAGTTCGCCGAGTGAATAAAATCTCACAAGATCGCATCCACTTTTGTTCAGATACCACTTGCATAAATAATGTTATCACAGAGCGCCGCCTTCGCTGGTTAGGGCACATTCTCTGTCGTCCACCTCAGGAGTTGACGCATATTTCGTTATTTGCTAAACCGTGTGACGGTTGGCGTCAAAAGCGAGGTGGGCCAATCAAGACCTGGACTGATACGGTGAGAAAAGATTTTTAACGTATAGGTGGACCAGCAATATATGGACTTAGACGATGGAAAAAGGAATGGCTTCCATTACTGTCGACGATGGCATCAGACCGCGCCGCTTGGAAGCGTTTTACCCTTGTAGCCGTTGGAGCTAGCCTAATCAGTAATGGTGAGAGCTGTTAGAAGGAGAAGAAGAAACAACCAATTTGGCGAAAAAAATTGAAAGAATTCAAATAAATTCGGAAAATTAAATAAAAAAAAGAAAGCACCTCATTTAAAATTAATTAAATTATCAATAAATCGATTTAATAAATCTATCATAAAAATATTACTCTTTCAAACTACGCAGTAACTAAAAGTAGTAAATTCCACAGAGACAAAAATTTCGCCGATATGCGTCGACTAATCATGACTCGTGTCTTTTGACAGAAGTAAGCTATCATAAAGGAGAAAAGCAAGGAGATGCCGGCCAGCCGAGTCTTTCCCAAGTGATCTCTTAGTACCACAGCCTGGCAAGAAGTGTGGCCAGCCAAACAGAAATGGTGAGCGTTAGAAGAAGAAAAAATTTCATGTTGCGAAATGTTCCGCAAAAATTTTTATAAACCATCATATGTAAATAACTTACTGTTCAGAACGTCCACACTGTTAACCATTGTTATTTCTCTTGATTTTTATTTCTTTCTGAAATAATGCAAAATAAAAAGTTACTGCTGAGAAAGAGAGGGATGGAGGGCCAGCGGTGCAATTCTGTCGCTAGGAAAGCAGTAAATTCCAAAGTGACCGCTCGACAAAAGGATTCACTTTGACTCGCGAATGGATTTTCAGGGATGCGTGAACAAATTATTGAATAAATGGGGCTTATATCTTTCCGTTCTGTTTTCTTTATCCCATTAGCGTGTTCACGTTTCTACTACAATGGTTACACAGCCATTTTCCTATTTTATATAGATTAGACTTATCGCAAAGGAATCTAAGGAATCCACAGCCTTCATCAGATTGCCGGAGAAGTCCACGCCTTCGAGGATGGTGAGCTGAGCATTACAAGCTGTTCAGAATTGAAATAGATGTTAACTGTATCCTACACATCCGGCAACTCAAATAGTATAAACGGAAAAAAAATACAAAACCTAATAATTAGAGAAATAACGAATGCTGGAGAATGCTGAAATTTGGTCTTAAAACGATTGTTTGGATACGGTTTTTCAATGTATGGTGTTGGTAATGCTCATGGGCGGTGGGTGATTGAGTTGAAATGTGGGTTAGTTCGTTTGGGTATTTTTTTAATTCTACATTCCTTCGCCTACATTCCTTTTTCATTTCTTAATTACAGAGCTGCTTATTTGTACGAAAGATCAGAAGAGTGGAAGGTCAGGTACAAACGAAAAAATAGTAGAACGATTAGAGAAGGATAGGGGAAGAAGGAAATAAATGATTATTTACCGCAAAGTTTCAAGTTTTCATCGAAATTCTTTTCTATTCGCTTCTTTTATCTCATATTGGGTTTCGATTATTGTAGAGCAAAATTGCTTCTAATGTTTTTTGGAGAATGAGTGATATAAGCGTGATAATGCGCTCATTTTTCTTTTTAAATTGTCGAAATGGTTTCTTTACAAATTTTCTGAATCAATGAGTAAAGTTGTTAAATTCAGTTATATTCGATTATTGGTTATATACTTTTATCTTGTATTTATTTGCATTTTGGTGCGTATAATTTATACATTTTTGGTCCGCCTACATTTAATTGGTGCAGGTGCATTTGATTTAGATTCATTTTTGTTCATTCTTGTTCGTTCAGAAATTTGAATTTGAATGCATTTGGTATAAATGTATTTCACTGATTCAGATGCATTATTCATTCTATGTAGGTGGTGGAGTCATTTCAAGTGCATTTGCTTTGGACACATTTAGCTGATTTGGTTCATATGCTGTAGTGTTTTCCCACTAAAAAGAGTGATGTATAGATTACTTATTTATTGCAATTTAGATGCAATTAGAGTTCAAATAGGAAATTATTAATGATGTGACGCCCTAATTAAGAGTGAAAAGGGGTAGAAATATAAAGGATATCTCCATCTGGTGGTGAATTGACCTAACAAAAAATAAATCGCTGGAAATAAAATGATTTCTTGCAGCTTAGACATAAGCTTATCATTCTATTACTGGTAACAGCATCTATTATAATATCTTTCATTATTTTTCATATTTGTTTCTTTATTTATAATTTATTTATTAATAATAATTTATTTTAATATTTATTTTTACACTTCTTAAAATTTTTTCTAAAAAATATTTAATGTTCTGAATATTAAATTGTTTTGTTTTATTTCTTTTTAAATGATGAAAAATAATTTATTTAAAAATTCTTTTAATTTCTTTTCAGACATTCGTTAGAATGAAAAATGATTTTTGTTTGGCTCTAGTACTAAGTTTTGTGAACATAATTTATTGCAAGATTCATCATTTGGCTTTAAAGGTTTGTTCTCTTTATGATAAAGTTTCATTTTTTAATCTTATCTAATTTTTATTTTCCCCAGTGAATTTTAGAATACTTCGCGCTTTTTCATAATGTTTTTTTCGTATTCTCCTATTTTATTTTAGGATGAATTGCGTAGAAATATCTTACTGACTAGTTTCGGATATATTGATGGTGGTACTTTAGAGCTTCTTCTAAGCAATTTTTCTTTCCCAGATAAACTGCTGATTCAGGATCGTGACAAGAAGCATACTGTAATTTCTTATCTCATTTAAATTTGCATGGGTTTTTTAAAATTCTTTTCTTAAATTTTTTAGTTTTTTTGTAGGGGATGGTGGGGTTTACACTTTCGCGTGGTGAAGATATTGTGAACAGTATGCGCACAAAGCCATATGTATGTCAGTTGACGCAGAAAGACCAAGGTAGATTTTCCTTTATTCGATGTTAATGTTAATGTTTTGCAATTTATTTTTTTTTGAAATTATAGTTAAGAATTTGCAGGATACGATGCTCTCTTTTTTGTTTTTAGCACCTTGCAAAGAAATTTACAGATTATTCGATCTGGTTTTATCCAAGATATAAAAATATGTCGGAATCTTTCAAGGTTTGCATTTGTATTTATAATTTCATAATTTCTCTGCAAGTCATTCCATTAAGAAATATATGAAATCACTTCAGAATATTTTTTGTTTATATATTTTAAATCAGATTTCGATATTTGATGTTGTTTGACTTTAGTTAATACTATCAGAGATCTTTATTTAATCTATATTGCAGTTGCCCAACGTCTGCCATTCATCGTCAAACATTCAGTGAAAATAATGTAAATTTTTTTTTGTATCTTTGTTTATTATTTCTGTCAAAGGGTATTGTTATTCATTATATATTGAATATTTTTCTTTTGTATGAAGGATATTATCTGTGCCCCACCAGGCAATTTTTTTTCCCCTACCTACTGCTCGAGGAAGATGTGTTGTTCATAATCTTTTGTAATTTTAAATTTTCTTACAGAGTGGAGGTTTATTCGATAAATTACATGATGCAATGTTTCCTACTGTGAATTATGGAGATCCATATAAGGATTATTTACCACTTGAAAGCATCAGTGGTCAATTTTCGACATCAGTAGGCTTTTGTCGATCATATAACACTCTATCAAATCATTTTCTCTAAAATTTTGCATTATGAAAGAAAATTAATAATGCAATTAAAATTAATTTAAAAAAATAAAAGAAAATTAAATTTTTTCTTTCAAAAATTTTGATTTAATTCTGCTATTTTGTTAGTTATTGAAGTTTTATAAAAACTTAAATAATTTCTATATAAATTTTGTGGTCTTTTTAAGCTAGCAATCCGCTTTTCAAAAAATCAGCAGGGTCGATATCATTTTATTTATCACAATTGTTTCAATTATCGTGTATCTGGATTCAGTAATCGTGTGGCAGTTGATTTTACTGTAAGCTAAATATTATCATTTTTTCAAACATAATAATGCAATCAATTCATTTTATCATCATTTTAGGTTGATATCGTGGAGAAGAATTTAGATTCTTATTTGACAGCTGGAGATATCATAAAGCCGAAGCTATTTTTATTCATGTCTTCCATTTTTGGTATTGCGGCTTTATTGTGGGTTTATACTATTTGCCACTCTTCGTAAGTTTTCTCGCGATTTTTTAAAAGTAAAATAACTTCTTTAATCAATTAATGTTAACAAAATATAATTTATTTTTAAATTTCTGGCTTCTCAGCGTGTTAAATTTTACAGCTACTCTTTCAATTTTTTTTTCAGTCCTTCACTTGTATTTCGAGTCCATTATTTAATGGTTGCATTGGTTATTATTAAATCACTGTCACTTTTCTTCCATGGAGTTAACTTTCACTTTGTTTCATTATATGGCCATCAAAAGGAAGCTTGGGCTATTGTTTTTTACATAACGCATTTGTAATTATTCAATCATCATATATCACGATAATTTTTAGATTTCATTTTTGATAGATTTTTATTTTATTTTATTGATGAACTTATCTTTTGTCATTGTTTTTCCGCTCTTGATAAATTTCCCTTGGTTATTACTGCTTTAAGAATTTGCACATTTAGACTAAAAGGTGCCTTGCTTTTTGGGACGATTATACTCATTGGTACGGGATACACCTTTTTTAAAAATTTCCTAACAGATCGCGATCGTCGTTTGTTTATGTTCGTTATACCTTTGCAGGTTCGCATCTTCAGAATTATGCAATATCATTTCCTAAATAAATTCCATATTTTACCATGCAAAATAGGTACTAAAGACTCTAAACTGGTCTTTTTTCATCAGTTTGATTGCAAGATAATATTTATAATATTTTGAATATACAGAAGGTTTTTTGTCATTTTTGTTAATTTTTCTCAATTCTAGGTTCTTGATAATGTAACTATGATAATAATTGAAGAAAGTGAATTCGGTCAACAAGGTTACCAATTTTGGCTTCAAATATTCATCTTTTTTGATATTATCTGCTGCATGTCGATTCTTCTACCAATTATTTGGTAATTTTGTTACATTTCATTCTATGTCTAATTTATTATAATTAATTTATTTATTTTCATTAATTTCTAGAACCTTATTTTCTCATTATTTTTTAACTTATTTTCAAAATTTTTAGGTCAATGAGACATTTGCAAGAAGGTGCTACGACTGATGGAAAAGCGGCTTTCAATTTAGCAAAATTAAAGCTGTTTCGACATTTTTATCTAATAATTATAGGTTATATATATATAACTCGTGTAATTAAATTCCTTATTGAGGTAATTTTCTGATTTTGAATTATTTTTTTAATTTTTTGATATTTCATCATATTTATTCTTTGACTTTTTGTTTTATCATATTTTTTGATATAAAAAAATATCATTTAAAGATACATTTTGATTTTATATGTAAAATTTGTAAAAATAAATGCGCATATTCTAGTTTATTGTGCCATTCAATTATGATTGGATTACCGATGCTCTAGTCGAGCTTTCAACATTATTTTTTTTTATCGTTACGGGTCATCAGTTTCGGCCTCAGGAACAAAATCCTTATTTAAAATTGACTCAGGATGATATGGATACTGAAGCGTTCGTTATATCTTCATTATTTTTCATTATTTTTTCCATCATTTTTCATTTTCGCAAATTATCCAGAATTTTAAAAAATTCAGTTTTTTATTTATTTTTTTCAAGTTGTCAAGGACAATTTTCAGTGTGATTCAAAACGGTATTTTTGCTAATGTTTCTCGTGTTAAACGAACTGCACTGCGCGATGAGACCCTTGACGAAATTCCAGGCATAGTTGGCGGTCACTGTTTGGAATCAGAAGAAAGTGATGTTGAGGATATATTTAATATGAATAGTATGAAATCTTTACTTTCTGACAGTCCACCTGTGTAATGTTTTAATTTTTATCGATGCTTTTCTGCGAAAGATCAATGATTTTTTTAGTCATAGTTAATATTTGCATGCAAATATGCAATGCATAATAATATGCATTTTTGATTTTGCTGTCCATGGCATTTGTCGTCTTTTTTCATTTTTTTACTGGTTTTCAAGATCATATAGGTAATGCATTAGAAAGCACTGTTAATAGTCGAAAATCTTTCTGTGTTATTGAATGAAAAGAAGGATTATTCAGTGTGTTACTGTATTATATTATACTTAATATTTTCATTCTATGTTTGATTTTTCATTTTTCATCGTTGGTTTAAGCGAAGTGATAACCTCATATTGTTTTGTTTTCTATACGCTCTTTCTTTCTCATTGATGGACTGTATGAATTGAATGAAATTGTTATAGAAAATTAAATGAATATTTGATAAGAATGTTCAAATTAAATTAAATTATATTTATCGCTGTCATTGTCGCTGATAAGAAGTACTTTAGTATGTCTCAAAATATCTGTTGAGTTGTGGTATTTCTTAAATAATTTTGGTCGTAATAAGTGTAAATAATATGTGCAATGCTTATGGTTATTCATCTCAAAAATATTTAATTTCGTATTGCTATAATTTGTTTCTATTTAAATATTTCCAAAATTTTATGATGGAATTCTTCAACGGAAGTAAAAAATAACAGTGAAGAGTAAGAAAAACCTTCGCATTAAAATAAATGTTTTGAAGCTTTTTTTTCGTATTTTTTTAAAGAGGACAAAAGACAATCATCCAGCTTAGCTGTTAAATCGTTTCGTTTCTTTAAATCGTTCTTTTAAATCCTTTTAAATCGTTAAATCGTTCTTAAAGAGATAGGCTATCGGGAATAATGTGTCATGTCATGTTGGTCGTTGTAAAAATAAATGTTGTAAATGCTTGATAACTATCGGTGTTTGACGAGTGCCGTATAGTTCTGCTGCTTCGTTAAGACTTTTGCAGCTGATCGTTGGCGAAGCTGTTGGAAAAGGCGACGAGCCAGATAACCTCTCACTCTTCTCTAAAATAATGTTTCTATTTGCAATTTATAATTTGTGCAAAATGTGATGGTATTGCAAAAAAAGACCTGTATAACAATTGCTGCTTCGTTGCACTTTTTTCTTTCAGCTTGTAAATTTTTCGATATTCGACGAGCTATATAACCGCGATAATGACGCTAAAATGTTAGAAATCTGCCGGGATGCCATGAGAAAATTAAAAGTTTGACTAAAAAACTCGTTTATTTAGGCATAAAATCATAAAAAAGATTTTATTTCTGTTTGAAAATTAAATCAAAAAATTGTAAATCTGATGTAGTAAAGACAAAATTCTGATTTGTATCAAAAGTTTTAAAAATTTTATTAGTAAACTGATTGCAATAAAATATAATGGAAACCTGAATGGTGCATGCAGCCTGGTTTTTTTGACTATTTTCAATTTTCAGAGCATTCAATAGCTTTTGAGCCAAGTGAATACGATATGCTCGCTAAATTTAATTTTCTGATTTAGCTTTGCTTACATTTTTTTCTGTGGCCGCCAGGCCGTTGCTGGTTACGTTCGCTGGTCGAACCACACAAATTTTTTGCAGGGAATGACTGGGAAATAGAAGTGCACAGGTGAGCACCACAAGAGCATAGTTTATTAATTTTAATAGGTTTAATTGAGATTTGATTCAGAAAAACTATTTTTTTTGAAATCGAAATTATTTTAACTAATTTTGAAATAGTTTTTTTAAAAAAAATTTGAAGTTCCACGTGATTTTTTCTTTTAAACTCTTATTCAATTATTCGATTAAGTTTCAAGTTCTCTCGATGAAATTTCCTCATTTTTATCAATTTGGAAGATCAAAATTTTATTTTATTTTATTTTATATTTTTATTTTTTATAAAAATTTTCTTTATAATTCTAAAACCTATTCTGTTGTCCGAGTGGTTGCTGCTTAGATTATCGTCCCACTCGTCAAGGTTCAAATAGGAATAAAAAAGATGCAGAGGATCCATTTGTACATTTCTCCAAGTGATTATTCCCTAGCTAAAATTTCTAATCATATCAGTAGTCAGTGGTGCGAGCCTATGGTGTCCACTTACCACTATTATTATATAATGATTTTTTTAAAGGTCACTCATCATTACTGGTTAGACTCGCTCTTCCGCTTTTTTGCACTAGAAATATAATAGGAAATCCCTTAGGAATCCAATAGAAATACAGATAAGTCGCCGGCATCACTTGGATTTTTGGACAGTTTTATTCAGTTTTGCATCGGCGCTCTGAATTGATCAACAACCCATTGACTCACGCTGTTCTTCTTTGTTTTTCTCCGTTGACACTGACATTGCCGCACAGCGAACGGTGATGATTCGAAATCAAACCTCTCAGTGGTAATTATCTTATCATTGAACCATGCTTACTGCTTAGACTAGTCCGACACCATCACTAATAGTAATAGAAGCCACTCTCTTTTCTATCGTCAAAGTTGATATATCGCTGGTCATCCTGTTCAAAAACGTAAGTTTCTTGACTATATTAGTCCAGGTCTTGATTGGTCCACCTCGCCATCCACTGATATTTGAGCGATGACGATATTAGTTCTTATTTCGTAAGGATCTGTCGGTTCCCCAGACTTACGGCGATTTATGCTGATAAAAATATCTTTATAAGTCGAATGATCTCTGGAATACCGTCGCGTTCGTTCCATCTCCATCACTCTCCAAAGCACCGTTCTATCAACTGAATCGAAGGAAATTGCAAAATCGATGGAACAGTGACGGTTGGTTGCAAATATTTGAAGCGATGTTTCAACATTCTTTTTAATAGGATCTTGGTTGGGCGCATATTGCTGTCTCATACTGCCATAAGTTTATTTAGTAGAATGGCAGAGAAAATTTTCCCCAAGATGTATAGGAGTGCTCGATAATTGTCACAGTATCCTGTCACCTTTCTTGGAGATTGGGAGCAGAACTGTTTGCTCCAGTCATCTGATATTATTTCTTTTTTCCATATCAGAGAATACTTTTGTTGAAGGTCTATCTATTATGAAAGGCGGCGGACAATATTTAAAGGACAGCAAGAATCCATTTTGGTCAGAAAAATGAGTTTTATTGGCTTTAAGTTTCTGAATAGCAGTAATCATTTCCTTTTCTGCTGGCGGTTTGCAGTTGCAAGCATATGGCTCGACGAGCGATTCAGTTATGTCCAGGAAAACAGATGGCGAATCGTGCTTAAATTTCCCCTAAAAGGATTCCTTCCATCTCATTAAGCGATTTTCTTTAGTAGTATTACCATGCATATCATTACTATATCATTTCACTGACAGTTCACTGAGTTATATTTGTTTCATGAGGAAGACGAATAGTTCCTATTATTGCCTAATTGAGCCACTGCCTTTCAAAGGCCATATTACTCCAAATATGATATCTAACTCGCCAAGCTACTCTTGTTCTAATTTTTCGAAGCATCAAATAATCAGGATCCCTTGACATTCGTGCTTTGCCAGACAATTGCTTTCGATGCCCAACAAGTGCAATTCCTACTAGCAAATCCTAATATGGAAGTGGCTAACTTTCGAGATGTGTTGCAGACATGTCTTTAATTGGAACCACTATGTGCGGTTCCAGAGATGCCACTGATATTCATATCACTGAGGTGGTTCAGTAATTGGTTTAAAATGCGCCTACTGTCTCCGAATCTTTTAGTTAGAGGTTAAAGATCTTGGGAGATAATTGTCGAAATATGTTGTTTATTGCGAATTATCAGTTTTATACGAATCTTTCCCTGAATATAACAAGCCTGATCCATGAAGAAGATAAGTTTCAGCGCCCCCAACAGTGATGACTATATAGTACGGAACTCTTCTAACGGCGATTGACTAATATATATACAATTTGGTTGGAGTGTTATCTGGAGAGGTTCACGTGACTAGATGTCTGGTACCGGAAGCATGCGTTATAATAAAGTCCTCGTTGTTAGGCAAAACGAAGAAGGCGTTCACCATTGGCGCACTAGACCACGCACTAGAGCCAAATTTACCAATTACCGATTTCATCGTAGCAGCATCGTAACCCCATGCGCGCATTCCAGTCTCTTCCATGCCACTTTTCGGTAGAGATCCGATAGTTGTTAGCAGTTCGGCACTTCCATTCCGCACAAAATTTATCCTTGGTCATCGGTGCATAAAAATGGAGCATATAAATTGATACTGAAATATTGCAGAAGTTTCCCATGAAGCGAGTATAAACCATACGGTTTACCGCCTTCCTCTGTTATCACGGTAGACTTTTCCAGACTCTAGTTGCTCGGAATATCACAATTATAAAAACAGTACCACTATTTGAAGCCAGATTGTAAAGTAAAACATGAAGCCCGAATTACATGGAGAAGACGGATCTCCCGATAAGCAAGCAATATCCACATGGTATTTAGAAAGAAAGTGGACAGTGATCGCTTGGCTTGGCCTATAAGCATCTCAGCTATGGCAAACACCTTGCGGCGCATGGAGATGCCAACGGACAGCCTCTTGTTTCCCTTGATAAGTAATTATCCTGGTTTGGAAGCACATCTTGTGGACAGCCTCTTGTTCTGAAGCCTTGGGGTTATTTTACTCTACGGCTGGATTGCATACTTATCGCAAGTGCCACAGGACTGGATATATCATAGTGCGGAGGGAGGAGCCGCCATGCCAAGAAAATCAGATCCGTTTCATCATAGAATCACTTGAGAATAGAATTACAGGTGGGTCCTCAGCAATCACTCGGTTTTTTTAATAATCATGGCAGATTTACTCTTCAAAGATTAAGGAGAAAAAGTAACGACTGAAAGAGACAAAAAGTAAACAAGTAAACTTTAAAAGAAAATTGGCATGGTTGAGATTATCCAAAATCTTTAAAAGGTTCGGGAAAAACATATGAGAGCGATTTATCGATTGATATGGGCAGAGCACCTTGCCTGCACGCCCACAATCAATCAATCATAAAATCAATAATTAAAATAGAG